TTATTTACAAATTACCAGCATAGATAACTAGAGCAACAATATCAATAAACACTATTCATGTACAGAAAACAAAATAATCTAATGTACAATAAAGCTGTAGTCTTCATTGTATAAATAATTAAATAAAACTAATCTTTAAAAAGCTATGTAATAATTCCTTGTGCTCAAATAGAATAATAATCATAAATCAAACATCCCTTTTTCAATACTTCCTTTGCAGTCAATTACAGCCAGAAGACTGTAAAACAGACATCACCAGACACGTTTCATTCCTGCTAGTGCTCTGCCTGACCTCTAAAGCAACTGTCCTCTAAAGGCTGCTTGTTCTTGGAGCATGTTTCCTTCAGTTTTGTCTTCAGCAAGTGAAATGCAAGCTCAATCAGGTGCAGGTCAGGTTATTGGCTTGGCCATATATATATATATACTGTATATATATACTGTATATATATAACTTTTTTTCATTTAAAAGAAAATACTCCAACAAAATGACAGTTTAGTGCAATTATTTTGCAACAGTCGACTAACTAAATCAAACAGACTTAAATGCTTTCTTCTGAATTTTCTGGTTTAAATCACACTTGCTTCCAGAGTTCAACAGAGCCCAAAACATTCTGAACAAATGGCCATGATTATGATAATGATGATGAGCATTATTATGTTTATTAATATTATTATATAAGCAAAACAAACAAAAAAAATGAATTCCACCATGCCAAAGCTGACGGAGCACAGTAGGACTCAACAAACAGATTGAGAGGTGTAATGATTGGTCTTTTCCCTGGTATTGAAGAACAGCTTTACTGCTGAGTGATTGAAGACTTCCTCTGCTAACATCGCATGGCCAAACTCTCCAAAAGAGAAAACATAATTATACTGCGATTGTTGTGTGTGTGCAAAGCTTTAGGGACTATTACAGGCCCATCTGGCCTCACTGAGCATGTCTGCTTACTGTCTTTATCATCTTCAATTAAGCCTTGGCCTGATCAAAGATCTCTTTCACTGATCAGAAACAATGCATTCAGCTTTGTCCAGCAGTGTTAGGAAAGAACTAGTTATGGCCAACTGTAATACAAGGCTAAGAATAGAGTTCACATTTGCCAATGATTTATTGTTCTTGCAAACTACCAATTGGACGGGAGAGAGCGAGAAAGCAAAGCGGACTTGATGAAGCAGAATTTAGTCTTAGTCCAGCGAAGGTTTGTAAAATAACTGCAGATCTTTACATCATTGGTTAGTTTTGGCGTTCGGGCTGATGATCATATTTCCACTCTTGCTGGATAACACTAATAACCACTTCTCTGAAGCAGATTAAAGTAGAGTTTATAAGATTTCTCCCAGCACACTTACTAAAAGTAACATTGCATACAATACAATGAGCCAAAAAAGTATCAAGACACCGAGCCTCTATTAAAATATCAAATCAAGCAGCATCTGCAAACTATCAACTATGCACATGTTCCACTGTGTTTGTAAACAAGAACGTGTCCAGCAGTAAATCAGTAGTTATATCATAGAATGTATAATTCTATCTTCATCTAATGCAACAGTTTTATAATTCAGTTACAAAAAAGTATACTTGCATTCAAATATAACATTTTCATTCATTCATTCATTTTCTTTTTGGCTTAGTCCCTTTATTAATCTGGGGTTGTCACAGCGGAATGAACCACCAACTTATCCAGCAAGTTTTTACACAGCGGATGCCCTTCCAGCTGCAACCCATCTCTGGGTTGCCACCGCGTCGCCTAGATACATTTTTAGGTGAAAAATTCTTTGAATTTTTTTAAAGTAAATCTCAATGACAGATGGATTATAGCTTACTCTACTGTAAATCTACTGTTCTGTCAGTATAACTCAAGCTATCTCGTGTGATTTGAGAAAGAATGCACCTAAAGTATGTTTTCTTATGTATAGTTTCCCTTATTAGCTTAAATTAACCATGGTTTTACTTCAAATAAAACCAAAGCATGGTACCACAGTTTTGATATACTGACCATAGTTTAACCCAAGTTCTTGTAGTAAAGCTATAGTTGTGCAAGTGTCATCAATGTGCGATGGTTATTAAATAAACTTTATAAGAGTTATTTTAATTAATAGTTTTTGGAAGGGTTAAAAAGTATACTAATAACACATGTGGAAGGGATGACATGACGATTCAAATACTTCTTTTGCAAGTTTTTTTTTTTTTTCAGTTTTTGCTCCAAAGTTTTCTTTGTCAGACAACACTGCGCTCTAGTGGGTGCAAGACAACTCAAAGTTACTACAAAAGTTTAGTACTCCATCATTAAGAGCTTTTATTCCGTGATCAAGTAGCAAGTCAATCACTATAGCTGCAATTGTGTGTTTAAAGGTTAAATATTTGATGTGTGGTTGGATTGTAGGTTAAAGGGAAGTGAGACTCGCGTTCGCTTCACGTGAAGGAATATTTGATTTGATGACTCACACGATGCGATACTGTCACGGACACTGACAATGAATGACGCTTTGTGTTGGTGTGCTTCTTCCCACCGTTTGTTCATAGGCTGAGTAAACCTGCAGCGTGTAAGGTGTAAATCATGACTAATGCTGTTACTGTAGTTAAATACAATCTGCAAATGACGGGAAAACTTTGTGACAGGAAGTCATAGTATTGGTTTATCCTCTCACCTGATGACAGACTGACAGAACAAGATGACACGACCATCAAAACAATACATGCGGATGGAGACTGGGTGTACTCAAACACAACTTCAGCTTGTGTTACAACTTACATTTTTTTTGTGTTTTCAAGTAATGACCTAAAAAATGTGTTTATATAAGATGATGCATCACTTGAATTTACAAAAATGCAAAAATATAGCTCGATAAAGAAATGTACCTCTGAAAGAAAGTCTCTGCGTTCAAAATGATGTGTCATGTGAGCACGCGAGCGTCTTGCAGAAGTTGTGCTGAAGATTATTGGACGCAGGCAATAAAAAGTCACTGATATCTGATTAATGTCTTTCACGCTGTCTCTTCACTGAGTTAAAATAATTCCCTCAATCCCTCATCAGTCTGAGATGCACGCTGATGCTGGAATTTCAACACATTTCATCAGTTAGTGTCTCCACTGATGCAACCGTGGCTCAATAAGCTGGTAGTGGAGGAGAAGAGAGACACCTAGTGTTCGAGATGAGAAACACACGCTAGCGCACTCATTTCACACACCTAGAACATTCTCAGGAACAATTTAAATGGAGACCGAACGTAAGGATTATAATTTCATCAGTTCTGAGGTCTCTACTTGGTCTACTTTTAAGATAACCTAGCAGGAGTAAAAACTAGATATTACATTTATTCTAAAGCAAAGCAAAAAAAAAAAAAAAAAAAAAAAACAGACATTTAAAACTCCAAAATAATTCAACATTATCTAACAAAGCTTATATAAAGGGTTATTTTACTTCGAAATAAAATATTCTAGTATTAATTAATCACTTTTGTGTTATTACAAGGTGTCTGTAGAACACTAATTTTTATATATTTTCCCTCATCCTCTGATAAAAGCTGTAAAAATGACTTGGTTTAATATTGACTGACGAATTTTTGTCATCTACATCAGGTCAGCGTGTGCATTTATGGACAGTAGGACGCATTGCCAAGTGTTGTATTGCCCATAGTAAATGTGCACCCTGATCCAATGCGGAAAGTTGTTTACAGTTTTCTGTCACACAAAAGAGTTCTTGAAGTTTCATATGATTGCAGTTGAATCACTGAAGTCGCATAAACTATTGTGACAATTGTATTGTTCCTTATCTGGACTTTGAATTTCTCTTGAACATTGCTGGCTGTGGAGTTGTTAATAACCTGCAGCTAACTTTTTGCAACTCTCACAAGGTTGCCCACAGCAAAACTGCGCATGGTCAGTATGGGAGACCACATGGGAAAGCTAGGTTGCTGCCAGAAGTGGTGTTAGTGAGACAGCAGGGAGCGCCCAACTTGTAGGCTGTGTGGGTTTTAACACCCCAGAATATTGATGGGAACTCTATACTGCTCAGTAAGCACCATCGTTCAGATGAGATGTTAAACCGAGGTCCCGACTCTCTGTGGTCGTTAAAAATTCCAGGATGTCCTTCGAAAAAGAGTAAGATTTAACCCACTGTTTGCCCACTGATCTCTGTCCAGCATGGCCTCCCAACCATCCCTATATCATAAATTGCTTCATCAATCTGTCTCCTCTCCACCAATCAGCTGGTGTGTGGTGTGTAGTCTGGCGCTGTGTGTTGAGGATTTTCCCCCAAAAATGTGTAAATCGCTTTGAGTGTCCAGAAAAGCACTATAAATGTAAGGGATTATTATAATTGTTGTTGGTTGTAAATTAGAGTAGTATAAATTTGTGTTCTGAATGTGAATGAAGATCTCAGGGTGATTGTAATGACATAAGGGTGGTTACTAACAGAATATTTGTTTTGCCTGAACATACCATTTAACTGCCAGCCAAACTTTCCTTTTTGCACTGGTTTTACAAGATGGTGAGTCATTTTAATGTGACTGACACCCTCTGACAGCAGAGGGAGGCCAAAGGGATGAAGACTCTTTCAACCATAGCAAGAGAAGCTTATCATTCAAAATCTTTACAGTGTCTCTAACTCATTCAAGTCTCAACAAAAAGCGGGTTGTGAGAAAGACAAATGCACAAGAGAGAAGGATATTATAGAAAATCTCAACTGGGCAGTCAGTTCATCTCTGCAGCTGGAATTGCTCACCAGTTTTGCAGTAAACAGATCTATATCTAGACATCCAGTGTCTCCTCATTTAAGAGAATTTAGACTTAAAGCCCTGCAGTAGCCGAAAGGCACATTAAGACACAAATCAAAAGTCTGGTAAAGCCTATAACTAAGCTAAAATTCCTTCCAATTTCAACAATGAAGATTACATTATTTCTGCAAAAAAAAAAATCAAGTGTTTATAAATTCTCTAATTTTGATACATCAAATTTTGAACAGCCTCATGATACATGGGGGGAAAAGTATGCAAGAATAGAATACAAGACAGAAATTAGGTTTTATTTGTGAACAGTTTCCCTAATACATGTTTTATACTTATAAAAATCAAATAAATATTTTTATATATACATCTGATGAACCTATGAAAATATTTTACACATCGTCTGTAAATGCTGTGTCTACACACAAAAGACTGGTGAATCTCTGGAGAAAAATTTACTGTGCAGCTTACTTTATATAAAAAAGTGCAAATCCATGTGCTTTTACCTGTTAATGTACAGTTCAAACGTGTGAAGTGTGCTCTGGCATGTTATTGATAGCATATATGTTAAGATTGAGGTATGAAGTCACAAATGTTCTGTATAAAAGATGTGGTAAACTCCTTCAGGTTGACTTCCTGAATAAATGTATGAGATTTGAATGCATGTCTAGAAGAGAATGTGAATGTTTGTGAGAGCTTCACGTGTTGACTTGATTCGCTGCTGCTAGAAGTGATGCAAATAAAGAGTTGGGTCTCTGAATCAGGTCCTGCGGTGGATCAAACTCAATCACCTGAAAGAAAACACAAAATAGGCTTTCAAATAATTTCTTTAAAATGCTCAAACTATAATTTAGCTCATTTAGTTTAATGTGGGGTGTAATGGTACACAAATGTAAAGTGAACATGTTCAGTTACAGTTTTTTGGTATGCATGTTTTCCAAATAGAAGCAGTGTTGTTGTGTTTAGTTTTAATCATGGCAAGTTTGATTTTTTTGGTCTGTGTGTACACCATTCAGTGTCTCTTGAAATACAGTACCATCAATATACTATGATGCTGCTACATATCTAAAAAAAGACTGCAGTGAAATAGTCCTGCTGTGCCTTTTTTTACATGTACCTCCAAGATGTGTAAATGTTTAGCTTAAAATACCTCTTGGATCATTTATTGCTGTAAATGACTCTTTTTTCAGAAACTTGCTAACTGATACAGAGAGTAACTCCTCTATACATTACCAACAACAGGATGGAATCATTTTGAGACCCCTTTCAACCAGATGGAGTGGGAACAATTTGAACTACAATATTTGACATATTTTACATCCTAAGTGGTTGGGGTTTCAAATATCTTGCGCCAGTTTTAAAAGTATCACAAATAATCGCATCCAAAATAAAAGTTTGTTTTGACTTAAAATATGTGCCTTTACTGTGTATATTTATTATGTATTCACAGTGTTCAGCAAATATAAGTACACCCATCACAAATCTCCCTTTTAAATTCATCTTTTTAATAGGAAGCTCTACAATATTATATTTGTCCATATACAATAGATTAGTCAGTACTGAAGCCAAATCTGGAGCTTATCTAACTAAATAACTTAGATAACGGTCCAAAAACTAGTACAACCAAATTTATATGTTATAGAAAAATATTAAATGCAAATGTAAAAAAGAGGAAAAAATCAAGAGAAGCAAAAAAATAAACAATTTTGTTGAAATTTTGTAGGTTGTAGTTTTTTGTTCCAATATTTTGCTTGAATTTGATTGTATTATCTTTTTAATTTCTAAATATGTTTGGTGACTAAAATATTATTTTAATAAATATTGTTTAATAAATCTGTTTTGTTTAAATGCACCAAAATACATTGCCTATATTCACTGAGAAATGGATCAAAATATTTTTTTCAAAATGGGGTGTACTCAATTATGCCGAGCACATTATAAATACACACATGCATCCATATAATTGAGAAACAATTTATTTGTATTTAGATATAAAATATATATATGTATATGTATATGATACAGATTATAAATAAATGAAATTATCCATGTAATTAAATTATTTTTGGATATATAAATTCACACACACACACACATATATTATGCCAAAAAAACATTTATTTTAGATGTGATTAATTCTTTGCCCGGCGCTAATAATAAACTGCTATATATATATATCATTACACCCCTTGTAGAAATGTAAGTTTATACATTTAAAGTGTTGTATTACCTTGCCCTGGTCCATGACGAGTATCCGGTCACTCTCCAGTACTGTGTTGATTCTGTGGGCGATTGTGAGCATAGTGCAGTGCTGGAAACCATCTCTAATGGTGTGCTGGATCAAGCTGTCAGTCTCCGAGTCTATCGAAGCTGTCGCTTCATCCAACAGAATGATCTACAAACACAACTTAATCAGACTCTGAGAGATTTGAATATTTTTGAGGACATTGTGTGTGTGTTTGTGTTTTTACTTTGGAGTTGCGCAGCAGTGCTCTGGCCATACACATGAGCTGCCGCTCGCCCACAGAGAAATTCTCTCCATTCTCCACTACAGGAGACTGCAGCTTCTCTGGCAGCTTAGAAATCTGCATAAGAGAAAAAAAAAGAGTCACAGATGATTTACCACCTGAATGCAAGAGTGTTTATTATACTCTTTGACTATTATATTCTTTTGCTGTTTCTTTATTCTTTTTATGTTACCATGGCCCAAAGTTTGCAAGGTACTGAGCGGATTTTAGGCAGATGTTTCGTCTATGTTTCATCACTATAGTGCGGCTCACAGTAACATGCCCACTCTCATATTGTGATTTTTCTTTGCTCTCTCAATAAATGATATCCTCACATAAAAGGCTAGATTAACCTAATGAAGTTTGAGCGGCTCCTGTTGAATCTGTTGAAATCACAATGAAATCACGGCACCCTGCTGATCACCTGAAGGCAGACTTTATCGTAATGAGCAGAAGTGCTTTATGGACATGTGTCAAATACTGACTACTTAAACAGACAGGTAATGTTCATCAGGTTCAAAACTTCAAAGGTGTGTGTGACTAAGCTGTTTCTAGAAAATGAGGCATGTTTGCAGAAGTCTTCCAAGTAAGAGACAAGTTGAAGAAAAGTTTTTACTTGAGACATCATCAAAACTATTTTCCATTCAAAGCTTGTGTTTGTCTTTACCGTATCCTTCATGTAGGTCTTTTCTAAAGCCAGCCAAAGCTCTTCATCTTTGTAGTTGTTAAAAGGGTCCAGGTTATACCTGCATACAAGAATACAACAAACAAGCACATTTAAGTCTGCAAATAAATTAGTCTTTTTTAAATGGAACTGCTGTGTTTTTTGTCTATTATTTATGTGCACATTGTTATATTAAAAACATGATACAGCCTCATATTCATTAAAGGGTTAGTTCACCCAAAAGTTAATGCTTATATTGTAGCTAATATATGTATTTTTCATATTTACAGGGGTATTAATCATTTCATATACACAGGGGGATGAATAATTTTGGGCTTCGTGGTAGATATATACACTCATTTGGCCACTTTATTAGGTACACCTGTCCAACTGCTCATTAACACAAATTTCTAACCAGCCAATCCAATGGCAGCAACTCACTGCATATAGGCATGTAGACATGGTCAAGACGATCTGCTGCAGTTCAAACCGAACATCAGAATGGGGAAGAAAGATGATTTAAGTGACTTTGAACTTGGCATGGTTGTTGGTGCCAGAAGGGCTGGTCTGAGTATTTCAGAAACTGTAGATCTACTGGGACTTTCATGCACAATTATCTCTAGGGTTTACAGAAAATAGTCCAAAAAAGAGCAAATATCCAGTGAGCGGCAGTTCTGTGGGCGCAAATGCGTTGTTGATGCCAGAGGTCAGAGGAGAATGGCCAGACTGGTTCAAGCTGATAGAAAGGCAACAGGTAATTAAAAAAACCCTTGTTACAACCGAGGTATGCAGAAGCGCATCTCTGAACACTCAACACATTGAACCTTCGAATAGATTACAGCAGCAGGTGCCAACACCGGGTGCCACTCCTGTCACTCCTGCTGACTCCTGTCATCTCAGAAGTCATCTAAGGCTATAATATGCACAGTCTCACCAAAACTGGACAATAGAAGATTGGAAAAACGTTGCCTGGTCTGATGAGTCTTGATTTCTGTTGCAACATTTGGATGGTAGGGTCAGAATTTGGCGTCAACACCATGAAAGCATGGAACCATCCTGCCTTGTATCAACAGTTCAGGCTAGTGGTGGTGTAATGCTGTGGGGGATATTTTCTTGGCACACTTTGGACCCATTAGTACCAACTGAGCATTGTGTCAATGCCACAGCCTACCTGAGTATTGTCCGTCCCTTTATGACCACAGTGTGCCAATCTTCTGATCGCTACTTTCAGGAGGATAATGCACCATGTCATAAAGTGCGAGCCATCTCAGACTGGTTTCTTGAACATGACAATGAGTTAACTGTACTTAAATGGCCTCCACAATCACAAGATCTCAATCCAATAGAGCACCTTTGGGATGTGGTGAAACTGGAGATTTGCATCATGGATATGCAGCCAACAAATCTGCAGCAACTGTGTGATGCTATCATGTCAATAGACCAAAATCTCTGAGGAATATTTGCAGTACCTTCTTGAATCTATGCCAAGAAGGATTAGGGCAGTTCTGAAGGCAAAGGGGAGTTTGTGAATCCGGTATTAAAAAGATGTACCTAATAAAGTGGCCAATGTGTGTATCTATTGTATATATGTATAGCCAATGAAAATTAAAATTTTACCCATTGTTCATAAAAATGTCAATTTTAAGAATATATTAGTGTAGTTGTGCTATGAGAGTGCAAAATGTATGTTCTGTGTTTTAATATGCATATAAATGTGCAAAAGAATGGCTGTAAATCAAATCTAAGAGAGAAACTATGAAATATTAATACCGTAATATACTGTAGTCACTGAGTATAGTTTATTTATTGTGAGCTGTTTTTTCTAGGATTTTTGGCTAAGTAAAATATGAACAATTTGCCGCCAGAAAATGTTGTCAGTTAAAATTCTTAACAAGGTTTAGAGGTTTCATTTTCCCACTATAACATGTTCCTAATATTTGTATGGTTTAATCCAACTTGTAAGGTCATTAAAAGCAAATATTTGGCAAGGTCCCACTCAAACAAAACTTTTTTGGCTTATTTATTTATTATTATTAAATTTTTTTACAACAGTTTTTACAACAGACTCACTGTTGATGTCATGTTACAGTTGCCCAATTCAGTATAAAAAGTAATTGATCAAAACAGTATGATATTTGTACAGAATAAGTAAAAGAGGAGAAAAATGAAATGACTGTGGAAGTTTAAGAGTGAGAAATGACCTGACGGTGCCGATGAAGAGTACAGGATCCTGTGGTATGACCGAGAGTTGACTGCGAAGGTCTTTGAGCCCCAGTTTGCAGATGTCCATATCATCTATTAAAATAGTGCCCTCAGCCGGCTCTGCCAAACGAAACAATGCTACACCCAGAGAAGATTTCCCTGAAACACACAGACACAGGCAACCAGTGAAAACCATACACGAGTACACACAACTTTATTAATAACACTTTATGAGGACAGTAACCATTTTTTTAAAAATAAGATTATCTCTCACCAGAGCCAGTGCGTCCCACAATGCCGAGTTTTTCCCCTGGCCTAATAGTTATGTTGAGATTATCAAGGACTATTGGAGTGTTGTCTCTATATCTCATACTGTAGTTTTTAAAGGTAATGGTGCCCTCTTGTGGCCAACCGGCAGGGATGTTGGCATCCTTGACTCTTCGTGGACCCTCTGAAACACAACTCTACAGCACACAAGCAAGCAGATTAAAACTATTATATTGTGCACTTGATTTTCTAAATTAATTAAACTGAACATGAATCCCTGATAACCCTAGAGTAAACCGGACGTTTAAGTCTCTTACCGTAATATACTCCAGCAGTCTCTCTACGCTGGTGAACTTCGCCTCCACCTCGGTGGACAATCGCACCACAAATTGAAGGATTCCAGTCAACTGGAATCACATAATATCAAGTGCCTGAAGATCCAGTGACAACTTTCACTAATTAGCCTACTGTCAGAGTGTAGGTTTGAGAGTTACCTGTATGGTGTAAGACAAGGCCAGACCTTTCAGAGAAGGGTTTATGGTCTCATTGGGGCTGAGCACAACAAATAGTGACACTATTAGAGTAACAGTAGCAGACAGGACATCCAACCAGAATGACAGCCAACGGGTTCCAGCATTAAACAGCATGAAATGGTTGGAGTTATTGTCACTCAGCATCTTAAACCTGTGATTAAAGACAAGCAACAAATTACTTTCAACTCCTCGGTTGTTTGTAACATTGCTGTAAAGTGTAGCCAATTATTAGTAGCCAACTATTAGTACACATTAGAATCTAAGGCACTTCTAGTACAAAATATTAAATTGCCTTCATTTTTGTTTTGGCTAGTCACATTAATTACATATGTAACCCATTTAGATTCTATAAAATAATAGGTAACACTTTACAATAAGGTTCATTAGTTAATGCATTTACTAACATGAACTAATCATGAACAACACATGTACAGCATTTATTAACCATAATTGAACATTTACTAATGCATTATGAACATCCAAGTCCATGCTTGTTAACATTTGTTAATGCACCATGAGTTAACATGAACTAACAATGAACCACTGTATTTTGATTAACTAACGTAAACTAACATGAACAAATACAGTAGTAAATGTTTTGTTCATTGTTTGTTCATGTTAGTAAATGCATTAATTAACATTAACTAATGAACCTTATTGAAAAGTGTGACCAAATGATATGCATGCCAACATTGTCAGTGTGCACTTAGAAAATAAAATAAAATCTTTATATCCTAACAAGCCCACAAAAAAGATGGTTCAACCTTTGGTCCTAAAAGTATTTGATCCCTTTTGGAGCAGCATTTGAAGTTTACTTCCATGATGTTTCCCTCTGAGTACTCAATTAAGCACTGAATTCACTTAAAATCTATATTCATATGAGCTAAATTTTATTTCAGTATATAGAAGTCAAAAAGCACTGAGTCTTTAGCAAGTGTGTCCTTCTGCGAGAACCACAATTATACCAGTAGGTGGCAATAAGTTGCTGTCAATAATTGCACTGACTCTTAATACTGGGGGAAGGGTCAAACATATTTATTTCAAAATATTTTTTGATCAAATTTGATTTTACCTTCATACGGTCTTTTTTTATAATTATGTTATTTATTGCATCTGCCAAAATGGTTTGAAGTTTATTCATTCATTTATTTTCCTTCGGCTTAGTTCCGTTCCTTAGTTCATCAGGGGTCGCCACAGCAGAATCAACAGCCAACTTGTCCAGCATATGTTTTACACAGCTGGTGCCCTTCCACCTGTAACCCAACACTGGGAAACATCCATACACACTCATTCACACTATGGCCAATTTAGCTTATTCAATTCACCTATAGCGCATGTCTTTGGACTGTGGGGGAAACCAGAGCACACGGAGGAAACCCATGTAAACCAGGGGAGAACATGCAAACTCCACACAGAAATGTCACACAAATGACTCGAACCAGCAACCTTCTTGCTGTGAGGTGTCAGTGCTAACCACTGAGCCACTGTGTTGCCTGGTTTAAAATAGTAAATTATAAAACAGGAACTTACTAACGACGAGAGTTGCATTATTATGACAGGACTTTTATTGTTGGTTATCGCTGTTGATATTTTAACAATGACTATTTTGATTATAAGAATACATGAAAAATGTTTGGAGAAACAGTCTGGCTACTCTGTCCTAGAGGGCCACTGTCCTGAAATGTTAACTCCAACTCCAAATAAACATGTTCCAGCTGATTAAGGTATTACTAGTCACGTAGGTTTGTTTTGGCTAGTTGGAGTAACACTTTGCAGGACACTGGCCCTGCAGGACCAAATGTGAACACCTCTGGGCTACAAAGATAAAACTTGTATGCCCATGAAATTAAATAAGTAACTCATGATATAATGACTTAACATCTCTGCTTGGCACATACATGAATGCATGTGATTGGTTTTATGTAATACTCAGTGCTGCAAAAACACTAAAATGTACACAAAAACCAACTGTAATACCATAAAATCCATTCACTTTCACATTTGACTTCAATGGTGACAGCCATACTTATTTAATTTAGATGTACAAGATTTGTTCATTTTGGTGCCATTTAGCGTAAAGCCCCTGTTATTTTCCAACCCTGCTGTACAAGCATTATACAAATTCAAATGATAAATTTATAAATTTTATATTAATTTAAAATATATAAAAATGTGCCATCTGAACATATATAAAAATGTGGCAGTTGTCTGAAATTTGCAGTTGGTGGTGAAATTTTGTTATTTATTTTGGTCATTCCTTTCCACTTTGCATGCGATTGATCGCTGAAGCTCTCTATCTTTTTTGTAGATCATTAAACCATTTTGCTGCCTCAGATATCTGTCCAAAATCATGTGCAAACATTGAAAACAAGTCAGCTGCCTAAGCTTTCAAACATAGCCATGGGTTCATTTAGGAAGATTCCATGCAATAGATAATTCTGTTTTGACTTTTGATAGCAACAGGCAATATCATATCTAAAACTTTTAGCAATAAAATTTCAGTTTCATTACTAACTTCTTTATTGATCTGTTACATAAAAGCAATATCCTGTTTGTAATCAAGCTGCTGGTCTAAAAGTTAACACTCTCTGTCTCATTGTTTTTGCATGCTGGATTTCTGGGAAATGATTCACGAGGATCATAATAATGGTGTTTTATTTTTCTAAAATAATTTTTAATATTAGGCGACATGGTGGCTCAGTGGTTAGCACTGTCACCCCACAGCAAAAAGGTGGCTGGTTCCACTCTCTATTGGGCCAGTTCTGTGTGGAGTTTGCATATTCTCTCCATGTTCACGTGGGTTTCCTCCAGGTGCTCTAGTTTCCTCCACAATCAAAAGACATGCGGTATAGGTGAACTGAATAAACTAAATTGGTCGTAGTATTTGAGAGAGTGTGTGAATGTGAGAATGTATGTGTGTAAAACTTATGCCGGAATAGTTGGTGGTTAATTCCACTGTGGCAACCCTTGATAAATTAGGGCAGGGTTGGCCACCCCTGAATTAGGGATTAAGCCAAGGAAAATGAAAGATGAACCTCTAATATGAACTCATTGTCATAAATCAAAATCAGTATCTTACCGTTCAATGTACTGTTGCCTTTTGTCGTAGGCATGGATGGTGCTGAGCCCCTGTATGGTAGAGGTGGTGAGAGAAATCCAAGGGGAACGACTCACATTCTCCATTCTCTTCATATGACGGATGCTTCTTTGGAAAACACTAGGACATAAAGAAAACAAACGGTTTATACATTTCATGGTTTTAAAGCGTATTCCTACTTGATGGATTGTAATATTTAACATCTGGATATTTAAAAAACAGTAATAATTCTCATGATGTTAAGGTAGATTGACTGTGTCTCACTATAGGATTGTGGCGAAGATGAGTCCGAGAATGACCACGGCGATCAGAAGGAATGGGAAGACTATGCAGATGGTGAGAAGAGTGAACGTAACAATCAGACAGAACTGCAGAAAGTTCTCCATGTTGAACGGCAAAACTGCATCCACTTCATCTTGGTCTTTGCTGAAGCGGTTCACCAGGCGGCCAGTTGGAGTTGTGTCAAAAAAACTCATTGGGCTGCCAAGGATCTGATTAAAAGTACAGTCACATGGTATAAAAATGCTGCGCTTCTCATTTTACCGAACAAATAATAGTTCAAAGCTTACATTCTCCATTAATGAGTCTACTCTTGATCATTCTAATTAAAAAGTATTTTTTTTGCCACAAGGAGGATTTAAATCACTTCCAATGGAGCTATTATAAGCAATCAATACTTAAAACAAAAAATATAGTTTTTTGTTAATAAATAAATACAGTAATGAAACTCTAATCTAATCTAATTTAATCTAATATTTCATTAATATGCTAATAATAGCATTAATAACACATTGCCAGTTTCTGTTTCACAATTTAAAACAAGTAGCAGAACTTTGACCAGGGGCATAGATTTAGCATGGACGGATATTCACAGATATTGAAATTACCCCACCAATAATTTAATTCACTTTAAAAAATTTCTGCGCATTTCTCAAAACAATTAGTCATTTATGCACATCCTAGTAGCAGTTTCTCATTCCTTTTATCAAATTGCAAATGCTTTTGGACATGCATCAATTGCTTTTATTTAACTCTCTGCTATTTATAACATTATCATGTGCTTATGTCATGTCAGTCATAATGAACTAAACCTGTAAATGCTGAATAGTCATTTCATATAAAACTAACAGTCCTCATTTCATTACTTCAGTCATTACATACAAAAATGTTGAACTTGATGTCAAAATCGGTCAAGCAAACTTTATTAAAAAAATTAAATCTTTATTTTCCTGAAAATGTCTTAAAAATTGAACAATTTCATGAATGATTTACAGACCTGTGTATGTTGCAGGTTCAGGTCCAATATATACTGCATTATTGTTTACAGTTGTGCACAGTTCAACCCAAAGGAAGTTTATGTTTGTTGTAAATTAAGGGTGTGTTTATTCTTTTGCACAATGCTGTGAATAAATTAGGATTGTAAAGTGCAAATGCAGAGTAAAAATGTGAAACATACATATTCAGTGTCTTGTACTCAGATACCTCACTAAATGCAGTGATGTCCAACTTTACTGTAGTTTTCAAATGGCTGTGCAAATAGTATATAGTGCTGTCTTGAGCATTTTTAGAAAGTGCCACCAACATCTGACTTTTTTGCATTGAAAAAATGTCCAGAGTAAACTCATAATGAAAACATGACAAAGCCATTTGACTATCTTGTTCATAAACAATGGTGTCAGGACTTTTCATTTTGATGATACTGACTCTTTGATTGACATGAATACTTGCTTTCGAGGATTGAGCTATCCATTTTGAGCATGTGACGCGCTTTTGCAGATTATCAGCTAGGTTTTGCAGTTTGTACTAATTGTTTTGAGAAATGCACTGGTGTTGTGAGAAACGCACCAAAGCGACTGAGAAAAACTGTAAATCACATTCTCTCCTTGAGTCACGCTGCCCTCAAACACATTCGAACATTGTGATTGGCTGTGCCTTTCCCTGCTGTCATTTGAGAGGCTGTAGTTGCATTCAGATGTAACAGCACCAAAACTGCAGGTGAATTTCCAGTACAAGAATAGGTATGTAAGGCTTGTGACACACACAAATGAGCATGGCGGAGCAAAAAAAGGTGGACATAAGGAGCTTTTGTCAACGAAAAGTGTAAATCACATAAACTCACATAAAAGTTTGCGACTGACCAAGTACACCTTGATAATGCTGTTAATGCTCGTGTTTACCCTGCTTTAGCGCACAGTCTATGGTTACAGCAGATTGATATAGTCTGAATAATATGCTCTGAAAACTAACTGCAGAATAAACAGCTAAATGTAAAAGTATAAATATAATCCCTACCAGTTCTCCTAATATCTCAGAGTAGCATGTCCAATTTTGGTTGAAAAATCTACAGCCTGTGCTGGGTTTTTTTATTTTTCACCCGTCCCCACCAATGTCAAGTGCAAACCTTGGTTTATGAAATAAATAATGAAATAATGAATTGATGGATAACTGTCAAACAAATAATTGGACAAATTGTACATTTGCAACTTTTTAAAATTAATCTGTAAATATCACGTACAGTTGAAATCAGAATTATTAGCCTCCTTTTTAAAATTTTTTTTTCTTATTTAAATATTTTCCAAATGATGTGTAATCAGAGCAAGGAAATTTTCACAGTATGTCTGATAATATTTTTTCTTCTGGAGAAATTCCTATTTGTTTTATTTCGGCTAGAATAAAAGCAGTTTTGAATTTTTTAAAAACATTTTAGGGACAAAATTATAAGCCCCTTTGAGCTATTTTTTTTCCGATAATCTACAGAACAAACCATCATTATAAAATAACTTGCCTAATTACCCTAACCAGCCTAGTTAACCAAATTAACCTAGTTTAGCCTTTAAATGTCACTTTAAGCTGTATAGAAGTGTCCAGAAAAATATTTTGTCAAATATTATTTACTGTCATGGTGGCAAAGATAAAATAAATCAGTTATTAGAGATGAGTTATTAAAACTATTATGTTTAGAGATGTGTTGAAAAAAATTCTAAACAGAAATAAGGGGAAAAAAATAAACAGGGGGGCTAATAATTTAGGGAGGCTAATAATTCTGATTTCAACTGTAAGTCCATGTGACTTTCTGTACTGCTGTGACAAGTTCTTAAAAGTACAAACTGATTCTATTGTGGAGAATTTAAAGAAATAGAGCCGAAACCAGGAGGATATTCAGGTATGTTCAAAGCAGAATCCCTTAATAAGAACTCACTGTCGCTGAGGAGTTCATCGAAAAATCTCTTTAATACTGCAGCTGGCATTTAATTTAGTGAGCAGTGCTTATTATTACAAACAGAAACTGCCATTATAGGTTTAGTCCAAAATTCTTGTTTTAGGGTCTTGCCTAGAAGTATTAAGTATGGAACTATATCAAGTATTAAGTATGAAACTGACAATATGCATTACTTTGGAGACATGATATTGTATTTCACACATAGGCAGTAAAACCTGATGTGCCTAGCACTGATCTTTTGCATTACTTTGGATAAATGATACTGTCTCTTACACATAGGCAGTCAAACCTGATCACTCAGAATGCATTTTACAATGTATTTTAATTTATATATTTAAAGAAATGTGTAATCCTTCACTACTTTTTTCTTTTCTTGAGCTAAATAAAATAAAAACACTGATGTACTGTACATTCGGTTTTCAGAGTAATACAATAATTCTCTCCGCATCCTGTATCATTAACTGTGAGCGAAATATACAGACTAATAATCTTTGATTATGTTAACAGTAAATATTGAGAAGTTGTTTGACTATTACACATTAACCATTGACTAGCATTTATTTCTGGGCATGAGGTTGACTTATCTGAATTTTATACTGCACAATTAAAACTGGTATCTCAAATAATTGCTAATATATCAAATAACCACAAAGAGATGATTCAGCAATAATTGTCCCTTCTCAAAGCCCTCCCTCCCTTCTCACACTACAACAAGCTTTCACTATCAGTAGCGTATAGCTCCCCTATCAAGGTGTGAATTAATAAATTCTGTGAAATTACATGATGATTTCAGACAAATGCAGACATAAAGGTCTGCGTTATGCATATTGGGGAAATGTTCTGGATGTGAGAGTGAATACAAAATAAAGATTGATGCTATAGCCTACGAATATAATGATGGGAAGTTTGGATTATTTGAATACAATTCATTTGATTGCCTCACACACAATTTACAAACACAAGCAAACTGTGGAATCTTGAACAAGACAATAATGCATCTATCAATAAATAAGAGACAGTAAAGATTAAATTATCGTTTATCTGTTTGTCTTACCCGTTTGAACATGGTGTCATGGAGTTTGGAAGAGGAACGCAGAGTGACTTTAGTGAAGGTGTAGCCCTTGAGAATACTCAGCACGATCATGGCAATGATAATAACACCATAAACCATTTGGTAGAACGACAGGTCCGGATTCTCAGAGATATTACCGCTGTTTGATGTTGCATTAGAGCTGGAATTGTTCTTCAAGAACACAAACAGAGAAAAGTGATTTAATGATAAGATGATGAGGTCTTGAATGAGTCTCAAGTGTGTGCATGTGTGTGACCTTGTTTTTATATCCTAGAGGAGACTAAACATGAATGTGCACATACTCATGGAGACTCATGTCACCAATGGGACATAAACTGAGGTCCCATGGGTAGAATTGTAATAAGTATCGACTTCGGTACCAATCGATACTGACATTTTTAAAAGTCCATTTCCCGCTTACATTTGAGCGATGTTGAGGGCATACTTGAGCACAGCTGATTGGCCATTGCGTGCTTAACAGAAATGACCATGATTGGATGTGATGGTCATTGATTTACCATTATTTACTGCTGTTTACAGAGTGCAAACACAGATACAGTGACGCTGGAGCGTTTCAAAGCAGCATCAATCAGCTGATCTGTCTATGAGCTGACATACGAGCGATTCACTGATGAAACGACTGATCTTCATGGCTTTGAAACGCTCCAGTGTCCTTGTATCTGTGTTTGCACTCCTTGAAAAGCAGTGAACTGATGACCTTCTGGCCAATCACAGTAATTTCTGTTGAGCATGTGAACACAATGGCCAATCAGCACTTTTTACGTACGCCCTCAACATCGCTCAAATTAAAAATGTAAAAACAAAAGACAGAATGTTCACTATCAGGGATGAGGTAAGGATAGGGTTGAGGTAAGGGGACAGGTTAAATATTTTGTACAGTGTTAAAATCATTCTGGCCAAGAAAGTCCCCATAGGGATAGCAAACCAGATTTGTTATGTGTCTGTATGTGCTTCTGTGTGTGTGTGCTTACCCCTGATCCCTGGTCCAACCAGTAGCTGAGCCACCAGTTGCTGAAAGCAGTCGATCCCACAAGAAGCGTGAAGAGAAGGACAACAAGAAACAACAGTATATAGCCTATAGAAATATAGACACATCAAGATTTAAAAACTGTGTTATGTCATTTGCAATGAGCAGAGAGACACATATGGAGAGTGAAGAAATAATAAGAGAAACCTCCAGCTGCTTGGCAGTATTGATGGTAAGTCCTCCACGTAACTGAACCTTCTTGGGCCACTTCTCGTGTCACTAATTGATCCTTTTTCCCTAAAACAAACATACACAGTGTTGTGTGAGTCACGTTTGTATGAATATAGTGGACATTTTCTTGATTATATTGTGATTATATATTGTGAAGAGGATATTGTGTCTAAATCTACCTTTTGTTTCTGAAGAGTCTTTGGGTGTTTCGTTTGTTGCAGGTTTCTCATCAGACATATCAAACGCTAAAGGGAAATGATAAAGATTACCAAAGGTGAACAAAGTGCTTTTTCCTTTTGCCCTTAGACCACAAAACATAAATATTATAAAAGTAATTATAACTATATAATATTATGTATTATTATTATTATTATTATTATTATTATTATAATTATTACACATTATATAACTATAATCATAGTTTCTTAATGTTTTAACATTTTATATCCGATTTATGTTTTGTTCATCTCTATTGATTTATGGTTTGTTAGCGTAGGGTAATATTTGGCCAAGATACAACTATTTGAAAATCTGGAATCTGAGGGTTCAAAAAAATCTAAATATTGATCAAATAACCGTTAAAGCTGTCTATATAAAGTGCTTAGCAATACAAAGTTTTAATATATTTACATCAGGACATTTAGAAAGTAACTTCACAGAACATCTTCTTAATCTATTCATTTATGGCATTTAAAATCATTCATCATCATCATCACTCTCACTCATACTACATATTTTTGACTATTGCCAAAAATATACCTGAGCAAAAGTTTTGTTGTCCATTTAGGAATATTAGCAGATTTAAAAGAGATTTGCAATTAAATCTCTAAAATTTGCAGATGTCCAATATAACTCCTAAGCTATTAGATTAAGTGCAAATTATTTCAGAACAAACTTGTAGTCATAAATTGGGACCAAAAAATGAATAAATCAATCAAGTTTATGTTCAAAATTAAATGTTTATTTATTTATTACTATTTAATATAATGTATGGACAGTAAACAAGTTTCCCTGCTATTACTTAATAATAAAAATGCCCTAAAATAAGTACTTTGATGCAGTTTACCTAAACAGATTGAAAATGAAGCTTCTAGTGACTTTAAAGCACATGCAGTATTTTAGCATGAGACAGGCAACAATAAGTGATTAACAACCATAGTTTATTGTCCTTTTGGTAATAACACGTTTATATTCTAACCTGGGTTTTCAATTCCATTGGCTTTGGGCTCATCTGGATTGGTCTGTTCAGAATCATTGTGTTCAGTTTGTGGTTTGGAATCAGCTCTTTCCTGTGAGACCCAAAAGGGAAAATGAAGAAGAAATTCAATGACACACTACTAAAAAACAAATAAGAGCAGATAAGTTGCATTATTTTAATGGCTTATTTCATTTGTAAAGTAAGTAAGATTGGTTACGTTATTCTGTTCCAGATGCACATTGGTAATAAGCTGAGAGTAGCGGCCTTTAGTTTTCATCAAATCACTGTGAGTTCCAGCCTCCTTTATCTCCCCATTATCCAACAGCATGACTTCATCACAAAACTCCAAATACTAAAAAAACAACACGGCAAAAAGGACACACAAAAACTGTTGATCACTGATAAAAAGCTACTGTTTTAGCAACTTTATGGCATGTAGAATTGCACATTAAAAGGCTATGCTGAGTCACGCTGACTGACAGCTAGTAAAACATGCTGTGTGACAGAAATCGATTAAAGGTTTGTGTTTGTCATTTCTCTGATAGTGAATCTTGTAGACAAGATACACAAACTTAGGTCGGTCTTTTCTCAGTCTAAGATGGTTATGCATTAAATGTGTTATGGCAATAATAATTATTCATTACTGTTTACTTCTTGTCAATATAAGACTTTCCACACATTTATGTGCAATTTTATTCCTCTAGAATGGTGGTTTTATATTAACTTCTCATGCATGCAACTAAATCCTCTTAATCATTGGTGAAATATCAATCCCAAAAAATCTCGATTTCATATCATAAGTTTAAGAAAAAATTTTAATGCCCTTTTTTAAGAAAATAATTACTTTTAAGCTTTTTTTTTAAGTTCCCTGTCATTTTCAGGGTTTTAAAAACTACATGTCTGTATTTGGTTTGAGCAAATATTTACTCTACAAACAGCTTGAAACAAACTGAAACAAAGCATATTCAATTGAATTACCTGCAGCTGATGAGTGACCAGGATCACTGATTTGCCTTTCAATTCTTTCTTGATGCATTCTTCAAATATATGCTTCCCAACATGTGCATCGACAGCAGACAGAGGATCATCCAAAAGGAAGATGTCTCTGTTAGAATACACTGCCCTGGCCAAACTGACCCTTTGCTTCTGACCACCTGAAAGATTAATACCTCGCTCTCCAATCTTGACAGACACACACACACACACACACAGGATATATTATTTCTATTTGCTACATAACTAGACCTTTAAAATATATCTATTGGAAAATAATCTAACACACCTCTGTCTGGTCTCCATATGGAAGTATAGCCAGATCAGGCTTTAGACAGCAAGCGTTAATAACACTGGCATATCTAAAATACAACAAGCACATACCAGAGTGTTTTAGTATACAGCAAGTACAAAAGATCAATGTTTAACAACATTACATAAATTTAAAAGCAGTTGAGACTGTAACCACAGCCAGAAAATGACCCATCCCATAAAACCAGTCATAAACAATATAAGATACATAATAAAGTGTCTTCTTGTCACAAGAAATTGTCAGTATATTTCAAAGTGAAGGGTTACTGACTAGTCTTTACTGTTTTGTTCCTGGCATTATTAGATTATTTAAATCAAGACGTTGGTAAGGATTTGTTTATATAATCATCTTGTGTGTATGACTTTTTAACCTACTAATTACAAAGTCTTACTTTAGAGCTATTAAAAGCAGACTAATGCTTTTAATAGACTAAAATTTTAATGCTAAGATTAAGCAAATGAGCCATATACCACCTCTCTACCAAGAAATGTGCTCTATCTTTTCAGTTAGCAGTGCTGCTGATAGTGTGCACTTTTTTTGTGCACATGTTTTTTCCTTGTTTATTTGCATATGTAGGAGAGACTGTGATTTCCATAGATAAAACATCATTGCGCAGGAATAACAAGGAAATTGTTATTTCTTTAGTTTTTTTTTACAATTCTATCATTTATTTATTTGCTTGGCCAGTGTGTAGTGTGTTTTTACCATTCCTGCTGTAAGTATCTTCAAATAGCTTTTATATATGATGCTAACAATATGAGTTTTGATCTTTAAACCACTATTTTTTTCAAGAACGTTTTATCTTTCATCAGGTGTCCACTGGGTCTTAAAATGACTTAAATTTCAAAAACTAAATATTAGACCTTGTAATTTGGTGTTGTAGGTGTTAAATATTTTTAAAGAGGTCTTAATTTTTATTTGTCCATGTAAAGTTACCTGATTATTACAATCAACAATCCATTAAAAAAAAGTTTAACAAAGTTTACTTAAACAAAAGTTATGCTGAAAAAAGTATATAACAAATGTATATTACTAGAGTTTGCTTTTTGACAAATTATATAAAATGTGGCTAAAAAAAATGACAAAATTTTAATTTTAATGGGGCAACTAAAAACCTTTTCTACTGGCTATTAGAAAAAAACCTTAGCGTTTAGTCCTGTATTAGTCTGAATTTTTAATATATATATATAATGGTCTTAAAAATGGTCTTGCTGAAACCTGCAGAAACCCTGTTAATGTAGGTCAGTCAGTCAGAACATAAAGATTTACTGTGGCTGAAAACCCACAATTTTATAAGTTTAAAAGCTGCAGTCATGAGTAATTTCATTGCTCTAAGACATGACCCCTTTTTTTGCTGTTCAGTTTAGTGCTGTGTTTATCACTCCAAGTCATCCTGTGTTCTACATGATGCTCTCTTCTGGCCAATAAAGATACTTATACGTGACCTGGTGTTAGCATTTGGCCTCAAATACAGTATCGAAGATTAGTTTCAAATGTAGATGCGTGATTTTATAAGTAAAGTTCTGGCAACCGCACACTGCCTGCTTTTATATGTAAGCTTTGCAACTCCTTTACTGTGCACAAGTGAACTCCCTTGAGAAGTATCGAAAAACAAACACTGAAGTGTTGACTGCATTCTATACTCAGCTTGACCATTGGTGTTTTACCTGGCTTCATCAAATGGTTCTCCCATAAGGATATTGTCTCGTACAGTCCCATGGAATATCCAGGCTTGTTGGGAAACGTATGCTAATGTTCCATTTGCTGATACAGATCCACTCAGAAGATGCATCTTAGGAGAGAAATCATAGGACTGTCAGTTAAATCTCATCACATCAAAAATGAAACTTTTCACTGTAAGTTAGAAAAGACAGAAGCATCCCACCTGCTCGAGAATACTTGATATCAGAGAGGTTTTTCCACTTCCGACATTTCCACACACCCCAAGCAAACTTCCCTATAAATGAAAAAAGCCATCCATTAGTGTCTGTTATAGAAGCACACCTTTAAAAAAAAAAAAAAAAATAATATATATATATATATATATATATATATATATATATATATATATATATATATATATATATATATATATATATATATATATATATATATATATTCACATCCCACCTTTGAAAGAGTCAAGCTGATGTTTCTGAGTGACGGTTGAGACTCTGCCTTGTGTTTGCCATTTTGAGAGGGGTTTTCAGGCATCTGGCTGGTGTTTTTGTCATCTGTTGGACTCCAGGAGAATGTGGCCTTTTCCATGACCAGTGCCAAATCCATATTTTTATCCTGAGTAAGATAACCTTTGGGGTTCTGAACCAGCATGATCCTCTGTAGTGATGCAAACATTTACGTGCTGTTATTTACACTGTACTGACAATGTCTATTCAGTGTGTAAAAGATATGATTAACATCAGTCGCGGCATGTGTAAAATACACTGCATACATTACCAACACATATCTTTATGAGTCATTCTGATGATTAACTTTTATTTTTTTCCCTCAATTCATTTTAAACTAGGCTTGATTAGAGCAGATAGTGGCGGCCCAATTTACAAATCAATTATTTTTTTAGACAATAATGTGATATAAATGTAAGTTTTAGATAAGCAGAGAAAAATGTGAATGAGTACAACCTTGAGTCTAGTTAGAGCCACTTTAGCCTCAGCCACAGCTTTAACAGAGAATGGCAACAAGCCCATTGACATCCTCATGCAGTTAAATACAGCGATGATAGTGTAGGCCTGTTGAGAAATTATCAAATGGTTAGGGAAAACTCATCTCTTCCTTGAACCTTTCAAGCACATCATATACATTTGCATGTTTCATTGTAAGGAGTTAAACATGTTCAGTCAGTTAAATGGAGTGTAAATCCAAAATATTCTGCCATTACTGGGTGCTTTCCACTCCACTTTTAGACATGCACTTACAGACTTCCCTTCACTTGTTTTCTCAGGGGATCCTAGCAGCCATTTTAAAGTGCATTCCACTTTATTAAGTGAACGAGGAAAGCTTACATGGACACACCCTCGATCCCTCAATTTTGAGAGAGGAAGCGAGTCGGCTTCATATGTCCACTCCAGCACTATATATATATATGTATGTTCCAGAATGCAATGCAATTGCGACATTAAAACAGTGTGGTTCCCATTAGCTTAAGGGTTTAGGCCACTCCATTTAAAACCATTCAGGTGTTTTGCCAATAGTGGACTATTGTGTAATGTAATCAATGACGTACATCCGAGGGAGCGAGACAAAGGGAAGTTATCGTGAGAACAACATAAAAATTGTACTAGGATTCAGCCATTAACTCACACTTAACTTCTTTGTTTCTTCTGTTGAACAAATGAAGATATATGGATGTTAATCACTGAATTTCAGAGACTAAAAAATGTAATAAAAAAAAAACACTTCTTAAAAAAAATTATGAAACATGTCAACATATTCAAAATATCTTCTTATGTTTTCAGCAGAAGAAAGAAAATAATAAAGGTTTAGAAAAAATGTGGGTCATCAAATTAACAAGTTAACTGTACCTTTTTTGCGTCCTATTTTTAAAAATACTATAAACAGAAACATTCTATTAAATAAAATATAATAAAGAGTCCAATGTTTCAATAATAAAGTTTGTAGTATTCATAATTACACTGCTTTTAAATCAGAACATTCATCAAAGCATCATGTATTTAATCAAAAATACATTACAAATGTTATTTTGTGAAATACTACAGTATTAACCTGTTACAGTTTTAAACTTTAATTCAAAATTCAGTATCAGCACCCATTACTCCAGTTTTTCTCGTTTTTTTAGAAATCACTAAACGGTATAGTTAATTAATAATCACCTTTTATAGTTAATAATAATCAAAAATAATAATAATTTTGCAGACACTGTGATGCACATTTTCCCCGATTCATTGGATCAATACAATGTACCATCGAACAACATTTTTATATGATTTTTAAAAAGAATAAATATAAAATAACCATAATGTTCTTTGTTATACTCCAAGCCCAAACTTTTAAACAGCAATGCTGCTCATATAGTATATTACAGACATATTTCTGCTTTGTTTCATGCACTTACAGTAGAAGGTAGAAGTGGCAGTTTCAGTGATGTGTGGACGATGAAGGTGACGATGGTCGCTAGCGTGGGAACTATCGTCGTTAAAGAAGAGTTTAAACTCTGAACATAACCAGCCTTTTGTAATAGCAGCTTCTCGTTTTTCCTGATGTCTAGATGTGAAAAAGCAATTAAAGAATTGTTGAGAAAAAGGAGAGAATGGATGAAAATAACAAGAGTGGACAGATGGACCACCTGTGATTGACTTCTCAAAAGACTCCTCCCATGCATACATCTTAATGAGCTTGATGCAAGTCAGAACCTCATTCATGGTGCGAACTCGTTTATCTGTCACAGATACAGCCCGCCTTCTGAACACACCGATCAGCCTGGCGATAGAGAACTACAACACACACACATATATATATATATATATATATATATATATATGCACAAATAACAAAATATAACTGATACCATTTAATTTTAAATAAAGATTTCAAAGCACATAACACAACACAAAAGAAGGCTGCATACCTGTATTGGAAGGAAGATCAAATACACTAGAATTCCAATAAGTGCTGTGTATCCAAGAATAAAGCAGGCATATATGATACAGATGATCAGCAGTACTGGAACACACAGCAGAAATGTCCCAAATATGACCGCATCAAACAACCGATAGCCATCACTCGTCAAGACGTTTATCGTCTAAACCAGACACAAAACATACAAAGAATGAAGACTACAGTTCATGACAAACACTCTTTGGATTGTATATAGTCATTTAAAATTGTTTAGTTTACTACAGCACATTAATGCCCTAATAAAGCCACTAATAAGTAGATTCTGCATCTAGAAAATATTGTGGCAGTATTCACTGATGAACCAACAATCAGTAGCTTACCTCTCCTACAGTGATAGTAGTAAGACTCCTAAGAGAGATGATTTTCTTGAAAGCAAGCATGGAGAATGCTCCCTTCACTCTCACAGCTGTCCTCAAGTTCACAGCCCACAGGACGGATGCAAAAAATGCCTTGCTGAACTCCGTGAGGAAAAGAGCCACACACACACCGACACCATGCACCACTGTAGACGGTTCAGACTGCTCGACATAGTTCAGGATTTCATATACTAGAATTGACTAGAAAAAAAGACAAAATGTATACATAAGCCAACATTTTCAAACAGATTTATGGTGTATGACAGCAAATAACACTACACACAAGCACTACAAGCATGGACAATATTTACAAATTAAGAGTTTAGATGCAAAAACCTCTAAAAGCCGTTTGATATTTTCTTAAAAAATGAGCGTTTTTCTTAAACTCTTGTGTATTGGCTTAGAAATTTTACATTTATAGTGACAAATAGGTTCTTTTCATTGCCTTTCAAGGGAAACAACTGAACATAAACGTTAAAGATTGAGAAAAAATTTCATTTTAGCAGAATGTTTCAGTGGACATTTAAAGGTTTTTGCATCTGAACTCGTCAAATTGTTGTTTTTTGGTACAGTGACATTATAAAAGTATTCTTAACACATTACAGATTAGCATTATAAAAGCATTTTTTTTTTTTGGCTTGAGAAAGCACTGCCAGAATGTTTGAAACAGATTTAAAAACTATTAGAAGTTTAAGTTTGGAGTGAAAAAGAATTTTAAAAAAAAGTTTTCTGGCATGCTATGTACATGCTTGCATGATATAACCTTGCTATAGCACACATTTTAGCATATAGCTTGATTGTAGCACTTTCTAACATATTTCTTTATAATATAAATTTGAATGATTTTACAGTATGTTAACATTACTTAGCATATTACTAACATGTTTTAACTATTGTTTTACATGTTGCTACTTGCTAGCGTGTTTAGCTCATAGCTTACACATTTAAGCTGTTGCAAGAATGTTTTAGCACACTGTTTGTTTAAATTAGCACATCTACCACATTAAGATGAATTAGTATGTTGCTAACATGTATCTAGAAGTACACACATTTTGCTAAAAAGACTTAGCATGTTGCTAATGTATGTGGTTATTTGTTAACATGTTTGTTATTTGTTTTCAAGTATTTTAGTCCATGGACAACAGGATAACTAGCTTATTTGTAGCATGCTTTATTACATTGTAAACATGCATTACTATTTTTGTGAGTTTGATTAAACATGTTAGCAATAGTTATAGTAATTAGACAGACAGACAAATAGAGGAAGAAGCTCATTTCACATACCGGACCAACAAATACAGCAAAAGCAAACATGACAGAGGCCAAGAATGACACTATAAATCTTGTCTTCTGAAAACGCATGATCACGGCAGAAAGAGACGCCTTCTCAAGACCCACACGGGCAACTTCTTCATCCCACAGTCTCTGGAATCTAAACACAACAAATATCACAACATTTTAAAAGTACTTTTTAAGATTAAATATAGATGAACAGAATTCTCCCAGACTGATTCTGGATACATGAAAAGACTTTAAAAATGAGTTTGTCTTTGCCATGTGCTACACTACAGCAATCCTCCTGAGTTTAAACGGAAAGAATATGAATCAAATCTAGAGCTGTTGACATTTGTACCTCTCTCCATTGATGTGAGCTCCATCATGAGGGGAGAGGAAAAGAGAGTCTTCATCTAATCGATTTCGGAAGAGCCTCCACATCATGGGTGTCATCCATGAAAACGATGTGAAGGAGAAGAATCCAGCATCATCAACCGGGTGTGAACTGTGCAAAGTTAGAAAATGCATTTTCGACATTACAATATGACTTTAAAACATATTCAGATATTAAGGAATGTCACGTGAATTACAGACTAATTGATAAAAATGTAATAAGTGGTTATTTAAAAAGTGGTCCGGTCACCACAAAAACAAAAATGCATTTAGTTTTGTTTCAGATCTTTTGATAGTATGGTGTTGAAATTGTGATGAAGCAATAAGCTTGTAACACTTTTTACGAAATCTTGTGAATGTCTTACTTTGACGCAAAACGAAATGGGATGAGAGTTTTCAAGCTTTGTTGGTACTTGTGCTTCTTAGGTGGAGGTTCTGGTTCCCTGTAATCTAGAACCGGGGGACCTTCTGGAAAGGCACTCATGGCAGATGAACTATCTCTTCTTTGTTTCTACATAATAAAAAAAGACAAACAAAGAAACTGAGATATCATAACATACAAATAATTGTGAGACTTTAAAAACATTTCATATGAGGACATGTTTTGACAGAAGAAAGTAAAATACTTGATAAACATCTCACTTACAAAAGAAACTCCTTCAACTTTCTGTTTTTCTGAAGGGAAGTCCTTCATTTTTACTATAGTAGTTTCTGGTGGTTATTATTCAAGATCTTCACATAAACATATGGAAATAAATTAAACATTGAACAAATAAATAGAAATCATGGTGAAAATAGTAGTAATAGTGAGATATTAAGTTCCTTACCTTTTACCAGTTGTGCACTGATCAGTGTAGTTGTCAGGCTAAACATGAATCCCTTAATACTCCGGCAGCAACGTGCTTTAAGGTCCTTACACTGAGTTACATCACAATTTTACCAGGCTCAAAGGTTATTACGAGCAGAGGGCTCGACACTCCTTCACACTCTCTCTCTGTTACCACCTGTCGGATGCAGAAACCCCAGTCTTTTTTTTCAGCCTGTGAAATAAACCAAACCAGATTACAACAGTCCTGAGGAAACCGACTCTATAGGTGAAAAGGCAAAGGCGAAAGAAGGTTCTTTCACCTCTGAAACTACTTTTCAGATAGATGATATACTACTGTTGATGACTGTCAGTCCCCATTTATGAGTTCACATCATAGTCAACATGAGTTGCAGATTCACTCAATTGGTGGACTTTAGTTTTATTCCTCAAACTCCAAAGTTTTATTTCTTCCATCGTTTTCCAATGAAGTTTTGTAATAATAGACATTATCTGTAAAAATTCAATGTATATTTATATGGCGAATTTGTTGTGTATTGCCATACATGATGAAGTGAATTTGGCCAGAAGTAAAAAGTTCTGTCTCCATCACTATACTGGGGCATTATGACCCCTATGCCCCCCCTGCTGTTCTCACACTACAGGTACAAGCCAGGCTCAGCCCTGCTTGCATACCTGTCAACCCTACAGTTTTTCCCTGGATTCTCCCGTATTTTACCGTTCTATCCGGCTATCATTCCGTAAAGGTATTTTCCCGTATTTCTCCCGTATTTTCAGTCTTTCTCTGAAGGGTGGTAAATAGCCGAGCCTCCTTTTACGCAACCCATACCTCCGAACCACCAGGGGCTGCCCCTCGCTCTTAAATGGGAGTCTGTTCTGTGCTTTCGCTTTGTTTAGGCATCAAAACACTTAGTAATAAATATAAAAAAGGCGGGATTCGCTTCTTTTTCATTACAGGTGCCATTGCCCCTTTATATGCAATCCTCAAAACAGTCATATAGCGGTGTGTTACTGACGCTGTTTCCCAAACGGATTCTGTACACGTGATTTAAAGTGGAGCAAAAGTCTGGGTTTTGGGTGCGTGTTTGAACAGACATATGCACATAATTAATAATAATACCATCTAAAAATGTCAATCTTGGTGGGGTTTTTATCCAAACACATCTAATTTCATCCTAAATGAGCATAAAAAGTTAGGAAAGCAAATGCTTTCATTATAATGTTAGATGTGTGCATTTTTTAAATGACACCACTGTTATTTAATGCGATCAAATCTAAATAAATAAGAGATTCATTAATTGCTCTTTCATCAGAATGTGTAAGTTATACAGTAAAGAAACGGCTTATGAGATTTGATAACTTGATTCTATTTCTTTATAACAGTTAATTTTAATAAGCTGAACTGTTTGCTAATGTATTTGCTGCTGATGTATAGTACATATTAAAGTGGGCATATCAGTGTTAACAGGTACTGTATGTGCTTGGTTTCATTAAGCAACCAGTCTTGGGCTTTAGCCACTCTGTACTTAATCAATTCTTCAAGCTTTTAAACATTTAGACACTTCTCAATGAGGTCTGAGTTGTTTGTAACCATCCTATTATTTCAGTAGGTGATGGTACACCTAACCTTAGGAAGGGTAAATGCTGATTTAAAGCTCGTCTGACCTATGAACACTTTTTTCTGATGAGTCAGGTTTGTTGACATGACGGTAAGCAAAGTTATTAACTTGCTCATGTCCTACGTCACTAAGATACGATTTATGATCGGCACAGTCTAAATGATATATTACCACTTGATAATTTATTACTGGGTTTAATACAGAATTTTATTCACACTTTCACAATTATGGATAATTTGGTGTTGCTGATTACCTTCTTAATGAACAAAAGAGAAGTAACATTAAACAATAATAGCAAAGCACAAATGAATGTAAACCAGTAATAAACATACAAAAATATGTGTGTAGCACAATAAAAGTAAATCCAAGGACTATTAGCCAGTACAGTACAGTACACAAACACTGTACTGGCTTGTGTAGAAGAATAGTCTGTCTTAGGTTAAGTGTATAGTTAAGTATTTACAGTATATGTATAGTTGGTACGTAAGTTAGTATACAAGTCTGGCATGTTAGTTATGTTTAGGTTTAAAGTAGCTCTTACATCCAGTGTTGATTGTATATTTATGATTATGTTTATGTAGAATTCAGCTTCTCAAATTAAATACCCAAACAGGCTCTCATTAGTTTTGTAACCAATTGAAAGTTTTAAAAGAAAGCAGACTGAAAACTAAGCCAAGAGCACCCAAACCGGGAACAGGTAATCGACAGAATGTAAAAGAAACATACAGTAAAATGTAAACCTGCTTTCTGTTTGCCACGGACAGATACAGAATGGAACCATGGTTAGAACTTTATTGTCCTGTGTGAGATTGAGTGAGTAGCGACTGTACAGGTCTGTGTGCATCTGTACCAGCTCTGCTACTCAAACCTACCGTTTACTCATGTTGCTAACTTAGTGTTGTGCTGAATGTTTTTCTTCTCTTTGACTCTGAACTGTGTGGATATAAAGCACATCAAAGAAGGCAGAGTTCCAGCACACACTCACCAATTGCGTAAATAATCGAGGACCAAGGGTAGCTCAAAGATGTTTAGGAGCCAAAGCGAACTGCCCCAAAAAGTTTACTTTGGTGAGCTGTTTTAAACTGCTGAAACAAACCTTGTTCTAAGCAGATTTGGTTTGAAATGACATAAAAAATATATATTTTCCAGAAATAAGTCAAGTTTTATCTTAAAACAAGTAAAAAATAATCTTGAAAGTAAAACAATCTTGTTTTTGGTTTGAATTAAGATTGTTTCACCTACTCCATTAGCTAATTATTTAGCTTGTTTTAAATAAAAACTCACTTAATTTTGACTTTATTTCTTAAAAAAACTAATATTTTGTAAAAAACTAAATTTTTGGATATTTGAACTAGAAACAAACTTAAACTCATTCATTTTCTGTTCAGTTTAGTCCCTTCATTTATTAGTCCTTTTCCCCCAGAGCGGAATGGACCGCCAACTTATACAGCACATGTTTTATGCGGATGTCCTTCCAGTTGCAACCCATCACTGAGAAACTCCCATACACACTTGCATTCACACGCATCCACTACAGACAATTTTGCTAACCCAATTCACCGATAGCACATGTCTTTGGACTGTGGAGGAAACCGGAGCACCTGAAGAAAACCCACGCTAACACGGGGAGAACATGCAAACTCCACAAAGAAAAGCCAACTGACCCAGCCGGGGCTCAAACCAGCGTCCTTCTTGCTGTGAAGTGACAGCGCTACCCACTGCAACACTGTGTCGCCCCCAAACCTAAACTCTTAAGTTAGAAAAGTATTTTACAGTGATGGGCTGTGTTGATTTAATGCTTCATTTTGGGAGAAATAACATTTAGAAAGATATTGAAAAGTTAAAACGTTAATACACTATGAATAGACTTTGGAGCTTTCTAAGCAGGGTAAATGCCACATTATAAAACATTAGAAAAATGACATGTAAAGCTAAACAAAGTTCATTTTCTATGTTTTATCTTGGATACAAGCGAAGCACAAAAACTGGAAATACCTGGCATATGACTTTAAACTTTATAATTTGCAGTTCACGATTAACACAATTTTACCAGGCTCAAAGTTTATTACAAGCAGAGGGCTTGACACTCATCCACTCTCTCTACATTACATTCTGTTGGATGCAGTTTTTTTTTCAGCCTGTGAAATAAACCAAGCCAGATTACAACCGTCCTGTAGAAACCGACTCTATAGGTGAAAAGGCAAAAGAAGGTTCTTTCACCTCTGAAATTATTTTCAGTTAGATTATATACAACTGTTGATGACTGTCCGTCCCCATTTATGAGTTACAGTTTCACTGAATTAGTGGACTCTAGTTTAATCCTCACGGCCAATTGTTTTTCACTGCAGTTCTTTAGACAATAGTTGTAAGTATAGGCTATTTCTATAGCCATCCTGTATTTTACGCTTTTAGACATTAAGACACTTCTCTATGAGGTTGTTTGTAATGATCATAGCATTTCAGTGATGATATGCCTAACCTTAAGTTAAATGCTGCTTTAAAGCTCTTCTGACCTATGAACATTTATTTCTGATGAGTCAGGTTTGTTGACTTGATGGTGAGCAAAGTTATTCATGATTAACACAATTTTAATGAAATATTACTTTGTAATTCATGACTGGGCTTAGACGTTTATTCACACTTCTGGATCTTCTGGATAACTTTGTGTTACTGATTAGTGGGCCCACCCGGAATCTGTGTCCGAAGAATTCTGCAGATTTTCCGCAGATTTTTAGGCCATTATTAATTCTGTTTATTTGCTTGAGTAAATGTGTGTACATCTATATATACTCAGTTTTTTAATTAATTTCAGTAATATTATTGATTAATATGAAAATGTTCATCTGATTTATGCACAATGCAGTTTGTACAGCATTATTTTCTGTCTTTTACTAGATATATTATATGACAAACTTGCTTTATTTACCAAAAAAGTGAATCTAATTGGATTTGCATTTTAAACATTAAATAAAATTTAAAAATTTATTATTTTTATTTAATAAATTAAGGTTTTAGTTATGATACTTCCAAAAACATTCCGCCAAAATCCGCAGACTTTAACCAAAATTCCCAGCTGAAATAACAAAAAACGTCCGCAGATTCCATCTTGCCCAACTGATTAGGCTACATTATATGGAACAAAAGGGGAGGAGTACCATTAAACAAACATAGCAAAACACAAATGGCTATAAACCAGCATAAAGGTACGAAAAACTGTGTAGCACAATACAACTAAATCCAAGCACTTTTAGCCAGTAGAATACAGTAGCTACAGACTTCTTGTTATTAGAAACCTGCAATATCTTGAATGTTTTACAAACACTAACGTTGGCCTTTTAATAAAATCTACATATTTTTTGTAACATGCCAATGTTGTGCTGAGAGTTCCTTTCAATTATTCATTCATTCATTCATTCATTTTCTTTTCGGCTTAGTCCCTTTCAGCCAACTCACACAGCACATGTTTTACGCAGCGGATGCCCTTCCAGCTGCAATCCATCTCTGGGAAACATCCATACACACTCATTCACACTCATACACGTACAATTTAGCCTAATCAATTCACTTGTAGCACATGTCTTTGGACTGTGGGGGAATCCGGAGCACCAGGAGGAAACCCACGCGAATGCAGGGAGAACATGCAAACTCCACACAGAAACACACACCGACCCAGCCAAGGCTCAAACCAGCGACTTGCTGTGAGGCGACAGCACTACTGCGCCACTGTGTCGCCACAGTTTCAATAATGTACAATTAATTGTAGGTTACTTATTATTTTGTAAACTGATTTAATTAGATCCTGCTCCTAAAAAACTATACTCTTATCGATAAAATATTTCTTACCGTTCGCCAACAAATCCTCCTGCGCATGCGCTTTCTGCATCATCTTGTCATCCGTGCATTGGTTTTTAGTTCGTTGGAATCAAACTGGTTTGATTTGAAAAGTTTTACTGAACGAGCCGTTATGTGTTTTGCTCAGTAATGTTAACTGATTTTCCTTCAGATGAAAAATCTGAAGTTTTCAGTGTCTTTTTTTGCGAAAAGATTCACTGAAATTGTTTAAATATAAATAGGCTCTCGTCGAAGTATTGAGACCAAATGAAAGTTATAAAGGGAAGCTGGCTGAACATACAACAACTAAAACTAGAACAAATGCAACACAGAATGCATCTAAACCGGGGAACAGGTACAATTGGCAGAATATGAAAGAAAGCCCTCTTCACGCAGACATCGCAGCACGGCCGAGATATTAAAAGCCATAACATCCTGTCTCCCTGACATCCTGTCTAAACGGCGCTCTTTTATCTGACCGTTATCTGTTGAAGGCAGCGTTTACTGTATGCGTATCGCTATACTGTGCTGCTTACGCAGGTTTGTTTATGACTAAAACTGAAAAAGAAAAAAAAAACTAATTTGATCCATAAGTTTTGATCGTTGATTTTGTGACTGGCGGTTAATTCCGCGTCCCGTAATAAATCAGGGACTTGCTGAAGCAAGGTGAGTCAGTGGCTTTAGAAATCCGAGACTTTAGAAGTTTTTCTTTTTTTTTTAAGGTAGGCTATGTATCTTCGTTCACAAACGCTCTTTGGCTTCCTGCAGCCTGTTATGTTTGTTATGTGATCACAGAAGAAAAGCTTTATTTTCGTCTGGACTACTTCAGATTTCTAAAAAGTATTAGATATTTTAATTAGAAACAAGACAAGAACTTAGTTAGAAAGTTGGAAAAGCATTTTTGCAGTGGCTCTGTTCAAATGAATGCTTCATTTGGAGAGAAATAACTGAATACTTTTTATTCAGAATAATTTTATCCTAAATAATAGTATTAATAATTATTATTCAGTTATTTCTCTTGAATAATGTTAATATGCTAGCCTATGAATACATTTTGGAACTTTTCTAAACAGTTTTATCACCACATTATTAAACAGCAGCTAAATGCCATGTAAAGCTAAACCAAGTTCATTTTCTATGTCTTATCTGGATAGAATTAACAGAAAAACAAAAATACCTTGCGTGACTTTAAACTTCTCATTTTGCTGCACAAGAACACAGGAAAAGGGATTTCCTCCTTTCTTTTTTGGTGACCAACTCGTGATACAGTATGTTTAGCTCCTGATTCAAGCAACAAGTTCAGAAACACAAGCCTTGGAGTTTGTTCATTGATGCATGTTTTCCACAACAACAGCTCTGTGTCTACTGACCAAACCATGTGAAACTCTCTCTAGCTCTCTCTGCTTTTTCTCAGTTGTGAGTCACAATGACAGAACATGGTGAAGTCAGTCTCTAAATAAAAGCCATCCTATGATGAGTTCTTCAGTCAAGACATGTTCTCTGTTCCCTTCTCACGTGATATTCTTTAGTTTTGATTAATGTATCAGACAGCACACATTATATAATATATAGAAAAAAAAAACACTTTGCATTAAAACAAAGTTAAAATTCATTTATAAATTAAATATAAATGAAGTGAAAATTTGTGTGTGTGTGTCTATATATATATATATATATATATATATATATATATATATATATATATATATATATATATATATGTTAATTTTTCTTTAAATTGACACAAGTAAAAGATAAAATTTTTAAATGTTTTAACATACTGGAATAATAGTAATATGAAGTGTCAACAAACTCTAATTTAATAATCTAAGTGTCAAAATTTCTGTTGCTTTACTAAAATGAGTGTTTTAAGTGTTTAATTTAACCCACATCAGTGTTAAATGGACACTTGGATTTGAACACTATAACACTATACAGGGACTTACACCAGAAATTGAACATCTCATTTGCTGTGTGTGTGTATATATATATATATATATATATATATATATATATATATATATATATATATATATATATATATATATATATATATAATCATAGGTTATTATACTGATAGAGGTTGTTGATCTTTGTGTAGCTCCAGACAATCTGTAATACACAAGTTATGTAACACACTCATCACCATCTTAATGATTCTTTTGCGGAGTCAGTCACTCATTGTCTCTGTTGGCAACGTTCAGCATTCAAGATACTGCAACTATCCATGTTCATTCTATTGAAACGTACATCATGCTTTTATTTGCATAGTAAGGAGATGAACTGGTTTAATCTACACTTGGTAAATAGTTTAGGATTCTATATATATACAGTATATATCTTAGAATAAATTTTAGGTGATCATTATTAACATTTGCAATGCCATTTTATTACATACACCTAACTAGTACCGGGTAGGACCCCCTTTTGCCTTAAGAACTGCCTTAATTCTTCATAGTGTAGTTTCAACAAGGTACTGGAAACATTCCTTAGTGATGTTAGTCCATATTGACATGATAGTATTATGCAGTTGCTGCAGATTTGTCTGCTGAACATCCATGATGTGAATCTCCCGTTTCACTACATCCCAAAGCTGCTCTATTGGATTGAGATCTGGTGTATGTGGAGGCCATTAGAGTACACAGAACTCATTGTCATGTTCATGAAACCAGTCTGAGATGATCTGCGCTTTATGACATGAAGCATTATCCTGCTGGAAGTAGCCATCAGAAGATGGGTACACTGTGGTCATAAAGGGATGGACATGGTCAGCAACAATACTCAGGTAGGCTGTGGCGTTGACACAATGCTTAATTAGTAGTAATGGGCTTCACCACGTGGGGTCTAGGGCTACTGCTGTGACCCACTGTAACCCACTCACTAGATATTTTTACTTTTTCTGACCATTCTCTGTAAACTCTAGAGATAGTTGTGCGTGAAAATCCAAGTAGATCAGCAGTTTCTGAAACACTTTGACCAGTCCGTCTGCCACCAGCAACCATGCAGCGTTCAAAGTCACTTAAATCACCTTTCATCCCCATTCTGATGCTCTGTTTGAACTGCAGCAGATCGTCTTGACCATGTCTACATGCCTAAATGCATTGAGTTGCTGCCATGTGATTGGTTAACAAGACATTTGCATTAATTAGCAGTTGGACAGTTGAACCTAATAAAGTGGCTGGTGATTGTATGTTTATTTAGCTATTTTTAGTATGTGTGCATTTACAAAATAAATTGTGAAAAATTTATGCTCACTATTAGTTTAGATTAATATCAAAGATGCTGGAAAACATCAGTATAAATATTTTTAGCATTGCTACATTCATTAAAATATCATTTATTAAAAACTGTGTATCTTGAATATTAGCTTAATGTGACCACTCGAAGACGCTGTAAAACAACAAAAGCTTTGCGTTTTATTGCCTCTAGTGGCGACACTAAAAATTAACATGTTATTTTAACATTAAGTTTGTATATGTCTGTATGTGGTGTGAAATTATGGAACATTCCAGAACAGATTCTCAAACAATGTCAGGATATTCATCAGTTTAAAAAGTTGTATAAATATATATTATTAAAGGAATATGATGATGAATAGAGGTGATTGAAAAAGGATAAAATGAGAAAGGTATGATGAAATTTTTTATTGATGGCTGTTTGCAGTACTATGACTATGTTATAAAATATAAATGTAAAAAAAATCAAACATATCATATGTCAAAGATGGCAAAGGATAAAATAGTTCTTATGCAAAGCTCATATGTCTCATGTAAAAAGAAGAGATAGGTAAAAGAAGAAATAAGTTTAAGTAATAGACGAAATTTGTGTGTAGAATGCGGTGGAAAAATAATAAGCATGTGGTCATCCTGCTCCTTTTTTGAATATGCTGAAATGTATTTTTGATAAAGAATTATGTATGATATTTCTGTTCGAAAATTTTTTAAAAATCTAATCAAATCAACCTAATTTTGGGTCAGATGTTGATAAAACACTTTAGTTTCTTTTTTAAAAATTATTTGAAATTACATTTTAAACTCAATAATTAGGTAAAGAGTGACATGTGCATAAGTGTCTAAGTGTCTCTTCATAATTTAGTTAGCATGTTTGCATTATTCTTATTATGTTTCACAGTAATATTAAATGATATTAAATAAACATAAATTCCTTATGTTGGATTTACAGTGAGAGCAAGGCAAGACATTGAATAAACACTTTAAAGATTTATTCTCAGTCAATTCAAACTTCAAATAGAACTTCATACAGAAGATTAGTGTCTGCTAGTGGTCATAAAATAAGTTTGCAAATGAGAAACAGATACTAACTCTGACCAGATCTGTGAAACAACACCTTTTCAGTCAAATTCAAACTTGCTTTACTGGCATGACAACTGTGATGCATTGTCAACGCATTTGTGATGTTTCCATTAAATAGAACATACGAAAAACAAAGTGTAGAGATAAATAAACTACAAATAACTTATTATTTAGGAATCAAATTTTTTATTTTTATTTTAGGACAAAACAATAATAAAAAACAGTGTATATATGGTCAACGATTTAGGACTCATTTAAAACTTTTTTACTTTGTAGTCTATCACACAGGCTAGTTGTTTAGTATGCATTTGTAATGAAAGCTGTGGGTTGAGTTTTACAGGGATGTTTCACTTTGTGGATTTTGACCCGTGTCTATCATTCGCAGTTAATATATTAATGTTATAAAACCTTACAGTCCAAGGGTTCCTGTTAGCCAATACCAGCCCCTTTCTAACATCCATTCAGAGTGCTAACCCTTCAGCTCTCGCTGGATTCATTTTAACGGTAAGATTTTAAAATATTGTTTTATTTTTTATCGTATAAATTTAATATATATTATGTTTAAGATTAGCTGTATCCCGTTATATTACTTTAAAAGCAAAATACATATATGTTTGGACATTTATATCTGGCAAAAACATTTACTTATGTAAATTCTCTGTTCATTTTAGTTACTTAAAATATTTATATTGACATTTTTTAGTTTAGTAATATTCAATTATATTATATATGATTTATTTGTTGGCAATAAATGCTTTTAGAAATATATTTTTGCCCTTACAATATTCTTTGGCATATTAAATATTGCACACCATTTTGCTGTACATCCCATTTGAGAACCTCACTAACAAAAAATGTACATGCTTAAAATTCTTCCTCAAACAGTATGATAAATATTTCTTATACAATGTAAAAACGTTAAAAGAATGACTGCTTGTGCATTGTGTCTTATAGGTTTATAATGGATCTGAGAGAGTACTTGAATAGGATTGGGTTTACTGGCCAGTTCAACAAACCTGACCTGGACAGTTTGTTCACCATCCACAAGCTGCATGTTATGAGTGTCCCATTTGAGAACTTCAGTGTTCACAATGGGGAGAAGAACTCAATGGACCTGCATGTTATCTATAACAAAATAGTCAAGAGCAATCGAGGAGGCTGGTGTTGTGAAAACAACCTCTTGTTCTCATGGGCCCTGAAGGAGATGGGATACAAATCTACCATATTGGGTGGCAGGGTGTTCAACTCTCTGGAACAGGACTTCCTTCCTAGTGACTCTCATCTCATCAATCTGGTGGAGATTGATGGAAAGCAGTACATCGCTGACGTGAGTTTTGGTATGTCATATCAGATCTGGTATCCCTTAGAGTTGATCTCAGGTAAAGACCAGCCACAGCCTCCAGGAGTGTTTCGCCTCACAAACAACGGTGAGAAGTGGATTCTGCAGAAGACCGGAAGGAAGCAAATAATTGTAGATAACGGCTTTGTGGATTCTACCCTTGTTGACAAACGGCTCACCAAGACATTATACTCTCTCACATTAACACCACGTGATGCAGATCATTTCCTGGAGATGTCGGTTATGCTGCAGACTAATCCAGACTCTCTCTTCCTGCTCAAGACCATTTGCTCCCTTCAGACGGTCACTGGCTACAGAGCTCTGCTCGGCTCGACATACAGTGAAGTCACTTTCAAAGAGGACTCAGATTCAGTGGAAATGAAGAAAATCCTAGATGATGAGATTGAGGATGTGCTGAAAGAAAAGTTTAACATGGTGTTGGTTAATAAGTTCACACCTAAAAACCAGAAAGCTGATTACCGCATGTAGTACTCAGCTACTCTCGACTCATCTACTCACAATTTAGAAGGCTCCCTCTGTGTGTGTTTAATTGTACCTGAAAGCTCTTAGTCATTCATGTTGTTTGATATTTGCTTCATTATAGAAGAGAGCTGCATTATTATGAGACAATCATTGCTCTTGATATTTTAACATTGTTTACTAATTAATACACGTGTCTGTTGCCTCATTACAAACATATGCAGCAAATTTCACAATATATACAATAAATTAACAAAACGTACTTTTCAACAGACCTTATGCCTCTTTGGGGTGACATTCTGAGATACTTTGAACAGATGCCTGCTTCATAAAACTGAAGATCTCAAGGGTTTCCATGTAGAAGGGGGTGAGGATGGGTGAAGTGAGACTTGCCCTTTTTAGCCGGTGGAGAAAATGTATTCATTGTTGTGCTTTCTTGGAGAGTGACATGGTGTTGGTGGTACAGGTGAAATAATATGTGATGTGCAACCCTAGGAATTTAGTGCTGCTGACTTTCTCCACAGTCGAGTTGTTGATGGTCAGTGGGAGAAAGTCAACAGGATCGATCACAAACTCTTTTGTCTTCTCCACCTTGAGGGACAGGTTGTTTGTGCCACACCTTTCAGCCAGCTGTGCCCCGTCCTTTCTAGCTTCTTCCTTTCTAGTTTCATCATTGTTGCTGACAAGACCTACCTCCATTGTGTCATCAGCAAACTTAATGATGTGGTTGAAGCTGAACTTGGCATCGCAGTCATGAGTCAACAGTGTGAAGAGCAACAGGCTGAGTACATGGCCTTGTGGGGCAGCTATGCCCAGAGTGATAGTGCTCGATGTGTTGTGGCCAAAATGGACTGACTGAGGTCTTCCAGTTAGAATGGTTAAGTTTTTTAATGAGCTGTTGAATAATTTTGTTGAATGCCAAGCTGAAGTCAATGAACTGCTTTCTAACATAGGAGTCTTTATTATCTCATGGCTAAGAGCCAGATGAAGAGTATAGGAAATTGCATAGTGCATAGAGTGGTTTGGACGATAAGTAAACTGGAGCAGATTGAGTGTGTTAGGGATGCTGCTTGATATTGTGCATAACGAACCTCTCGTGAAAGCACTTCAACCTGATTGGAGTCAGTGCTATGGCACGGTAGTCATTTAGGTAAGACACATGTGGCATGTGGGGACAACTGCCTTTCTCAGCAAAGTTATGAATACATCTGTTAGAACAGGGATGCTCAACCCTGTTCCTGGAGATCTACCTTCTCGCAGAGTTCAGCTCCAACCCTGATCACCCTGCTGAAAAATCCAGCTTAAACCAGCCTAGGCTGGTTTAAGCTGTTTTTTTCAGCAGGGCAAACACACCTGAACTACTTAATTAGGACCTGGGGCCGTATGTATAAAACTTCTTAAAAATGCTCTTAAGAGTAGTCTTAAACTTTGACTTAAGTGTCAAAAAATTCTAAGAGTAGGAGAGATTTATAAAGAATCTAAAAGCCACTTTCAGTAAAGTTTGAGACTGATTCTCAAGCTCTAAGTTAAGTGTTGTAAATCAAGGACTACAATGACTAAAACACAAAATGGCCGCCCTTGACCTCTGAATCAGCCTATTAGGAGCCTGCAAGGATGAAGTCACAGCAGCACGACACCATTCACTGATAAATTAATACAATAAAATTATTCAACATATTAAAATATCATTAAGATGTAGTTTTGTGTTATGTGAAAAAAAAACAAATAAATACATGCATTTTACACAATCTTGCACAAATCGATTGATTGCATGGACAAATGTGATGCTTCTGAAGTAATTAAGCTGATAAGTCACATAATTGTAAATTGCACTCTTAGCTGTTTTTAAAAGAAAGAACAAAGTTTAAAGCCCTTAAAATATGGATTCAAAAAGAAAACCAAACTGGTCCAAGTAGAAAAGTGTTTTAGATGACATCCAGGGGAACATAATTTTGTTTAAATTAATCATTCTTACTTTTTAATGAACACAACTGTTTATTAAAGATGCAAACCTCTCACTGCATCACAGCTGCACCTTCAGCAAACTTTATGATTGTTTATGAGCGTCAAAAGTGGCTGATCTGTTCTGCGAAATATTTCACTGTGTCACTGCATATCAAACGACTTAAACAGAAAAACTACAGAAATCTCCACTGTGCTGAGCAAGAGCGCTTCTAACTGAACAGCGCATCATCGATGACGCAAAAAACACTTAAAAGCCCACAGAACACATTTATTCAGTAAAATGTTACCCAACCAATATCCTTCATACATTTTCAAATTTAACCTCAGTTGTAATAGCAATAACAGTTTAAGTGGTTTTGTCCATTTTTGTGGAATTTTAGCCACAAACCTAAATTTGATTTCATGAAACAAGTCTAAGCTATGTCATTATGTTTTCAAAAATTCAATGGCAATCTGTGTAATACTATAAAAGATACATGATTATAAATTATATATATATAATCGCACAATAGGTATTGCTGTCGCCTCACAGCAAGAAGGTCACTGGTTCAAGCCTCGGCTTGGTGAGTTGGCATTTCTGTATGGAGTTTGCTTGTTCTCCCCATGATCACATGAGTTTTTCCTGGGTGCTTCAGTTTCCCCCACAAGTAAAAAGACATGCGGTACATGTGAATTGAGTAAGCTAAAATTGTCTGTAGTGTATGTGTGTGAATGAGTGTGTGTGGATGTTTCCCAGTGATGGGTTGAAGCTGGAAGGGCATCCGCTGCATAAAACATATGCTGGATAAGTTGGCAGTTCATTCCGCTGTGGAGACCCCAGATTAATAAAGGGGAAAAATATATATATATATATATATATATATATATATATATATATATATATATATATATATATATATATATATATATATATATATAAATTATTCATACCCCTGACAGATGCTGACTTAAAGTTATTTTTAGTTTTTTATTTCCAGCTATTTTTTTCTTCTTCTTTTGACTGGACATGTTTCTCCCTAAAGATAATAAGATAATATGCAAGAGGCATCACTGTGGAACAAATAGTGCCATGTCCAAAATCATTTATATCATTTAAACTGTCACAGTCTATGGAAAAATCCAAAGTTCTAAACCATTGCAGAGTCCAGGCTGTTCTAAATCATCCTAATTACCCTGATTCATTGGGAACAGCTGTTTGAATTAAGTCATCAGGTGAAAAGCAGAAGCTCTCAGCTATTTGTAGACAGTCGTGGCTAAAATAACGGATATGCTGCTGCAGAGATTTGTGGCTGCTTACAACTCGGGAAAGGGCTAAAAGGCCATATCTAAATGTTTTGAAATTCCAGTAGCTACATTTCAGAGCATTTTTTTTTTAAAAATACAAGATGTTTGCAGTTAAAAACTCAAAACATAAATGCACAGAAAAGGTGTATGCTAACATTATATTGAAGCATCTGTTTTTTTTTTTTTTGTTTGTTTTTTTTTTCCCCAAAAACAAACCACAGAGTTATGGGATCGGAAAACAATCTGTTTTTGTTTTGTTTTTTTCTCTCCCCTGAATAAGGAACGTTAATGTGCATTATAGATGTGACCAAATAAGTTAGTGAGTTTACAGTATACAACATACTTCGTAGAAACTGTGTGAATTAAACTGCACAGCCCAAAATAAACAGTAGCTACTCCTAAAGGATAAAGTTTGCTCTTTATAGAACAACAATAATTAACTTGTTTTATTTTACATTTTTGCATTTACGAGGGAAAAGCTTTGTTACTGATATGACTCCTCTCCATAATGGATGTGACCGATGTGAAATTGGCACTTGTGGGACTTTTTGGTAAATCAAATATAATTGTTTGAAAACGTTGACTTTATATATAGATTTTTACAATACTGTAAAAACAAGCCTACAAAAAATAACTACTTTGGTGAAAAAAAATATCATGGCAAGGTTGACATTTGCAAAGAATTGCTTTGCTAATGTTTTGCAGTAGCCAGCAGCCAGAGTCCTCACTTAAATCCAATTGAGAATTTGTGGAGGAAGTCAGATCAGGGTAAGGGCAAGGAGAGGTTGCATTATGAAAGAGTTTTACAGGTTTTTCTATGGACCTTGTTCAGTTTCTCAGTAGTTGAAGTCACAAATTTCATGTAGACAGATTTTAAAAAATTCATAATTAATAAAAATACCTGTGTGAACATGGCCTTATCGTCTTTAGGAGGAAGCATGTGTCATGTTTAATAAAAAAAAAACTTGCTGAAATAAAATAACTAATTTAAAAATAATTTCAGAATTTTATACAAATCGTTTTTAGGCTAGAGTAGACTAATGTTTTGCCTGATTTTTTTCTTGCATTTGCAAGGTTCTGACCACCAGGTGTCCCTAGTATTTGTTGTTCCAAACGCTTCAAAACAATCAAGGAAGAGGGATTGTGGGGGGTGAATTTCGAAAGAACCCGACTAAATATCAGGTGACAGCACCCTCTGGTGGTCCACAGAGGAGCGAGCAGGCATTCAATTACATACAGTACGTGTGTATTAAATATACAGTAAATCTTTTTGAAACCTGAATATAAACCTTTTGTAATGTTGAAAACAGATTATAAATAAAAGTTATGATTTTGAACTTTTTTTTTTTTTAAAGAAACCTAAAATTAAAATTTATCAGTTTCAACAATAATGTGAAGCAAAACACTGTTCAGCACTAATATTTGTAAAAATAGTTATTAGTGATTTTGCACTAATAATAACTGCTCATAATAGATCATAATAAAGACTGGAGTGATGATGAATTTTTATTTTGGGATGAGCTGTCCCTTTTAACTTATGCTGTTTTTCTATGCTATAGCTACAATAAATTTTCGTACAATACCTAAGGTTTCGCCATTGGTTTGATTAGAAAGAAAACATCAATATATAGTTGATTTCCGTTTTGACTTTTCCAGGCAATCTAAAATATTTTATATTAAGTTTCTCTATTAACTTTTTTTTTCATTAAAATAATAGTCTTCTCGTAATCAAGCTGCTGGTCTAACCATTTTTCTTTCTGTGTCATTGCCTTTGCGTATTCCGCTCTCCATCCACTTCATATGACAGATGCTCCAATAGTAGATGCCTCAGTTCCGACTGCACATACAGTATATTGTCAAAACGCCAAAGTGCGTAACATCCTGTCTCCTTACATCCTGTAAAATTCCTTTATCTAATCGTTCTGGAATTTGAAGTCAGAGTAGACTGTATGCTTCGCTGCCTAACCTTAATGATTTTCTTAAAGTCTTGAGAAATACGTTTACTTCGTTATTTCGACTAAAACGTACACGAGTTTATTCTAAATCATCGTGCTGAGCCTGTTTCTTGAAGAGGTATGTATCTTCCAAATATGCTGCTTGGCTGACTGTAGTCTATTGCATAACTTGTATTTGCTAGATGATGTGGCGCTCTTTATTAATTTAAGGCTTCATGAAAAGGGAGAAATAACATGAATAATATTGAAATATACTTCTAATAGCTTTCTAAACAGTTTTACCACCACATTATTAAACAGTAGCAATGTGCACTTATAGAGCCGGTAGTTTGAGATTGAAGGATGTCTAATTTATCAGAGGCATTTGCACAGTATATGACAAAAATGGCTATTTAGGTTTGTGTGTGACGAAATGATTTGTGCTGAAGAAAATGTTGTTTTCTGTCAAGATTAAAATCTGACTGGATTTGCTGGAGAACATCATTAGAATATAGGATTGATAAATACTGGAAAATTAAAATTGTCATTGTAAATCTTAAACATTAGCTGAATTTTTGGTTTGTACTTTATTATTTACCTATATAGTTGCAGAAAAGGCTAGGTTATTTCAGTATAAATTTAAATCCGATATAGACAAACCCAACCTTTAAGTTCAATTTGACTGTCTGTTTTTGGCCAACATTTTGGTTGAAACAAACTATTATTGGTTAGTGAAGTGTTTCATTATTTGCATGATTTGCATTGTTTCACAATAATGTGAAAAGGTTTGTAATATACAGTACATTCCTTGTCCACTTAAGGTATATTCTCAATAAGTATAGCAAGGACATCTCAAAGTAGAAGTTTAGAAACTGCTAATAATACCAGTCATAACCATGGCATGTTGCATCAAAGTCTACTAATAAAAAAAACAAGCATCGGTTTCAATATCCTGTAATAATAATTATGGTTTTTACAAGTTCTGGAGTGAAACACTAGTCCAAAGTCTGGCTAATTGTTCAGAATTCAGATAGTAATCTGTGTGTTGAGTTTTACAAGGATTGTGAATTATTTTTTTTTTTTAATCATTACAATTTTTTTTTTTTTGTGGATCATTAATAATACTTAGTATAGTAATGTGATATGTTGTGATCCAGCTTTGTGGTTCAGTGATTCCTGTTATTCAGTTCTGGACATTTGAGAAATATTGCCAGAATTTGTTCTTTCCTTTTTTTTACCGATGCTAAAAAATGAATTCAAGCTTTTATTTTCTTTCGGCTTGATTACTGCAATGCTGTTTATATTGGTTTACCTAAGGGTTCTAGTTGAAGTTGAAGAAATGAAATTGAAGAAGCAAGAACATATTACAGCAGCATTAATAGACTTACACTGGTTATCAGTGCACTCAAGGATAGATTTTAAGATTCTTTTATTAGTTTATAAGGCACTCCATAACCTGACTCCTCCTTACATTTCTGACTGGTTATCAAGATACAATCCAAGCCGTTTGCTATGCTCTTCTAGCGCTGGACTTTTAGAATTTCACTCCGTAAATCTGATGTGATCTGATGGCATATCTTTTAGTCAATATGCTCTAGAAATTTGGAATTGTTCTCCCAAATGAAGTGATAGAATCCACCAACATTCATGTTTTAAAAGCGTGTTACGATGCACCTGTTAAAAGTTGCATATAACTATAATAGTATGTTATATAAATGTATGCATTTTCCGTTTATATGTATATTTTGTAGGTGTATGTATGCAAGTACAGTGAGTGCATGTACAGTATGCATAATTAAGGACTATTATATTGTGTGTGTGTGTGTGTGTGTGATGGTGTAGATATATTCATGAACGTGTATGTTCTTATGAGTTTATATTTGTTTATTTTGCTTTATTTGTCCATACATTTGCTTATTTGGTTTATGTTACAATTGCTTGTTTGTGAAGCATTTTGAATAGCATGTATGTAGGAAAAGTGGCATACAAAAAAATGTTTATTATTATTAATAAAAATGTCTCCCTTTATCATATAAGGCAAAGTATTTTCAAATGTATTTTTAATATTTATCAAAATTTGAATGTTATAAAACCATGCAACTACTACATTTGTTACAAAATGTAATCATTTTATTTACTAAAATATTTATTTAGGTTTTCTATATATTTATTCAGCTAAACATCTTTTATATCTCATCAGTTTGCTAAAATGTATTTTGTCAGCAACGTATACATTAAATACATACCTTATATACATACCTTATTACATACATGCCTATATAGTCCAGAACACACTGGGAATAGATACAAACAGACGGTTTATTGAACACTGGGGAATTGAGGTGCAGAGCGGGTAAGGGTTGAGTGTCTTATACTTCTCTTGTTTTAAAGTTGTTGAGAGATGAAGACAATCCAGGTTGTTGAGACGACACACAGAGGAACAGTGAAGAGCTGGAGGGAGTCTGGTGACTTTGTACTTGTGAAATGTAGACGTCCCTCCTCAGCTTCTCATTGATCCTCTGTGTTGCAAGCCAATTGGCATGGTAATAAACTTGTAATCAAGTTGTAGTGCTAAAATTCTTTATTTCCTTATGCAGTTATAAAAAAAAATATATTACTTTTTTTGTTTTTTGATTGTCTCACAGGTTTATAATGGATCTGAGAGAGTACTTGAACAGGATTGGGTTTACTGAACAGTTCATCAAACCTGACCTGGATAGTTTGTTCACCATCCACAATCTGCATGTTATGAGTGTCCCATTTGAGAACTTCAGTGTTCACAATGGGGAGAAGAACTCAATGGACCTGCATGTTATCTATAACAAAATAGTCAAGAGCAATCGAGGAGGCTGGTGTTGTGAAAACAACCTCTTGTTCTCATGGGCCCTGAAGGAGATGGGATACAAATCTACCATATTGGGTGGCAGGGTGTTCAACTCTCTGGAACAGGACTTCCTTCCTAGTGACTCTCATCTCATCAATCTGGTGGAGATTGATGGAAAGCAGTACATCGCTGACGTGAGTTTTGGTATGTCATATCAGATCTGGTATCCCTTAGAGTTGATCTCAGGTAAAGACCAGCCACAGCCTCCAGGAGTGTTTCGCCTCACAAACAACGGTGAGAAGTGGATTCTGCAGAAGACCGGAAGGAAGCAATTGATCATAGATGACGGTTTTGCAGATTCTGGCCTTGTTGACAAACGGCTCACCAAAACATTATACTCCCTCACATTAACACCACGTGATGCAGATCATTTCCTGGAGATGTCGGTTATGCTGCAGACTAATCCAGACTCTCTCTTCATGCTCAAGACCATTTGCTCCCTTCAGACGGCCACTGGCTACAGAGCTCTGCTCGGCTCGACATACAGTGAAGTCACTTTCAAAGAGGACTCAGACTCAGTGGAAATGAAGAAAATCCTAGATGATGAGATTGAGGATGTGCTGAAAGAAAAGTTTAACATGGTGTTGGTTAATAAGTTCACACCTAAAAACCAGAAAGCTGATTACCGCATGTAGTACTCAGCTACTCTCGACTCATCTACTCATAATTTAGAAGGCTACCCTGTGTAATTGTACCTGAAAGCTCTGTCAATTGTTTGATCTTTGCTTTTTTACAGAGAAGAGCTGCATTATTATGGCCCAATCATTGCTCTTGATATTTTAACAATGATCACTAATTAATACACGTGTATCTGTTGCCTCATTACAAACAAATGCAGCAAATTTCACAATATACACATTAGGCGTACATAACATAAGTGAGTAAACATCTGAGAATTGAAAGGGCTGATATGGTGGGGTTAACACTTAGTCTAACTTGTATATCTACACGCTGACTGCGCTTCTGTCCTCTCTCACACTGATTGTAATGATGCCTTTTATGGGTAGAGAGGTTCAGCTTCAGCAGTAAAAAAAAATTACTCGTAGCTTCTTATCGGTCTCTGGTGACAGTTGGTCTTTGCATGTTCTGCTGATTTCTAAAGGGCTTTGGTGAGCATAGATGTGTTTCTTCTCAATTTCCTTATGGATTTGCAGTAAATCCATCTCACAGGTATGGCGTATAAGTGAGGCATATGTAAGATCATGTTGCAAGGATATGTATATTGAATGTTCTTGCAAACATGTCACCCATTAAACATGTTCCAGTTCCTGCCAATGAAGTGGACTGATATTCCACAGGCCACATTCAATCTAATTGACTTTGCATAGGAGATGTTGCACTGCATGAGGTGAATGGTAAACACAAAATTGCCTTTATTTTGGCCATCCTAAGGCACACATGTGCAATAATCATGCTGTCAAATCAGTATATTAATTGGCCAGTTCTGTGAGGAGGATGGATAATTATGGCAAAGATCAAGTGTTCACTAACACTGATTTAAACAAATGTGTGACCTATATTTGAGAGCAATAGACCTATTGTGTAGAAAGTTTTAGATCTTTGCTTATGAAAAATCAACTTACGAAAGTTCAGCTCATGAAAAATGAAAGCAAAAACAAAAAGAATGTGACTTGTGGCCAAATATGGTGACCCATACTTGGAATTTGTGATCTGCATTTAACCCATCCAAGTGCACAAACATTGTGAACCTGTGAGTACTCACCTGTTGAGTAGTTTGGGGTTCGGTGCTTTGCTAAAGGAACTCACCTCAGACTTTTTGTGCACTTTTTTTTTTTTTTTTTTAAACGGTCGTCTGTTGTATGTTTGCTGTACGTTCGAGCCACCAACAGTTTGTTTTTATTGGTGCTAGTTATTTGGTGTCAGTTTGGTTTGTCCCAGCCTTAAAAGCGTTGCATTTTATATTACTGTTGATCGTAGTATGCTTAATACAGGTTTAGATAAACTTAAAAATATTATAAATCTTGTAATCTTGCTAGGATCCTGAGAGTTGGTTAAAAAATGACACATGTTTTCATAGGATGTTGATTTTTGTAATATTTAAAATTCATAGTGTCAAGTTTTGATGGGTTATAAACTAAATAGTTTAAAAATATCCCTCCTTTTGGTGCCCATAGGAACTGACGTGCACCAAGAATTTGCCTACTTTCCCTATGCCTATAGGGCTGGCTCTTGGGGTGATCATATTAATGATGCTATGTGGAACTTTACAGTATGTGTTTTAGTCTGATTGATCTGTTTTCACAAGAAATTATTACCACGAGGCAAGGGAAGTAAGGGAAGAATAAAACTGGTATCAAGGTTTACCCCAGTTTGAAAAGTCAAGCTTTTAAAACCACTAAAATGTTCAGTTATACCATTCCCATGGTATATGTAAGGTTATTTTTGGTTGTGTTTTTTTTTTTTTTTTTTTGCATGTTTTTTCCGACTATTTTATTTAGTTATTTTTAGGGCAACAGTATCTCCAGCAGAAAAGGACCCTTCACATCAAAAGCTACTGGTCAGGCTGTGATTCAGCGAATATTTGAATTACAAATATAAACCAACATCCTTATATCAACACCCTTATTGCTTATGAACCACCATCCAAGCATGCTTTGAGTCCAAAGATATCTAAAGATGCTTTTTCATGTTGTAAAGATATTTGTGTTTGTGAAACAAACAAAGATATCAGAAGTTAATGGTTTATTTTAGTTATTTAGCCTGAAATGTTTACTGTACCAAAATATTTTAAATGTTTTTTTTTAAATAAAGTATATTGTGTTCAACAGAGAAAAAAGGTGTTAATTTTTACCCAGACATTTAAAAAAAGAACATTTCATGTCTCATAATCACAATACTGTGAAACAGTATAACCTAATGTCTTTTTCCAAGGTTTTCATATCGTCAGAATCTTATAGTGGCCCATGCCTGGTTTACCTGGGTACCTAAAATTTCTGTAAACTGAGACCCTTTATAAATTTTTACATTTCAAGAGTTCACACTTAGCTGATGATTTATAAAAGCTTGTTTGGCATGCTGTCCCGGGTGAGAGCCCCGAGCTCAAGGGCTCCTTGAGCCCGGGGCTTCCTCCCGTTGGCAGAGCAAGAGGGGAGACTGAGCTTGGTGGATCTCAGAACTCCCCTGCTGCGGTAGCTAAGGGAACACAAGGGATTAGACAAAGCTTGATTGTTATGCATGTTGAATGTCTTTGAATGGTGGGAGGAAACCGGAGAACCCGGGGAAAACCCACACAGACACGGGGAGAACATACAAACTCCTCACAGAAACACCCACCGGTCCTGTGGAACCAGGGCTGGCAGTGTTCTTGCTGTGGGGCTCACAGTGCTAACCACTGGGCCGCCGTGCCGCCCAATCACAGGTAAAGGAGGAGAATAGGGGAGGAGGGAGGTTTCTTCCAAACTAAGATAAAGTGAACTGAAAACTGTGGCTATTTATAGTAGCTTAGGGCTCATATGATTGGAAGATAGTGATTAGCAAATGCGAGACCGGCCGTGATAAATCATAAGCACGTGATCCTCTCGAAATTAGTTTATGAATAAACTTCACTTAACTTCAATAACCGCCATTGACAGTTTAAGCTTTTGTCCATTTTAATAGCATTTTAGCCACAAGCCCCTGTTGTTTCTTTTTCTGTTGAACGTAAAAAAAAAAAAACTATATATATGTTTTTTTTATTCATTTATTTTTTCAAACAAGCACAGGATTTCAAGCAAAAATAATGGGAGCATTTGCTAAACATTTAAAAATAAGCTTTTTAATATGAAAAAAAAATCTATTACAAAGTCATACTCCAAAATACATTTGTGTCCATAAACAATATCTAAATTCCCCAGTCTTTACTATAATGCTGTTATTTACCAAACCCTGCTGTTAAAATTTTTTGGATTGAATTACTTGAACATTTATTTATTCATTTTCTTGTTGGCTTAGTCCCTTTATTAATCCAGGGCCGCCACAGTGGAATGAACTGCCAACTTATCCAGTAAGTTTTTAAGCAGCGGATGCCCTTCCAGCTGCAACCCATGTCTGGGAAATATCCACACACACTTATTTACACTCATACACTACGGACAATTTAGCCTACCCAACTCACCTGTACCGTATGTCTTTGGACTGTGGGGGAAACAGGAGCACCGGAGGAAACCCACTCGAACGCAGGAGAATTTGCAAACTTCACACAGAAACGCCAACCGACCCAGCCAAGACTCGAACCAGCGACCTTCTTGCTATGAGGCGGCAGTACTACCTACTGCGCCACTGTGTCGCCATTGCTTGTTTGTTAGAGCTAATTTTCATAAATCCAGTGCTTGCTTGTAAAACAAGTGAAAATAAGAAGAAAGCATAAACGTGTGAGCACCAGCACTATAAATAATAATAATACGATCTGATAAATCCACACCTGGGGTAAAATATCTCTGTGGGAGGAGGCTCTTATTTCTTGCTTATTCGTCTATATAATCCTGCCTCATCAGCGCTATCTACACCATCCTATCTCTGTTAAAGAGAAAAAACGTTAAAACTCCCCTCTTATAGGAACTTATCTCACTTTAAACCTGCCTAAAGTCCCGTTACAGCTACTGCTACTGTCAAAGCGAAAAACAGCAAAAATGGAAGTATGCAAACCTGTTTTCTGCTCCTGATGGGTTCTACGTCATGGTGAACCATTTGTGCTTTAAAGTCTCCTCTAAGCAGGTCCTGTTTCTGGGTGGAAAGCATAAACTACTCATGTTTGTGAATTGCCTGGAAGAGTCTTTTATTTTTACTAATTTCTTATCCATGGCTGATTCAGAATCTCCTCCACTGTAACTCATATTCAGCATTTACTGGGGACCAGCAGGCAGCCATAAATGCCATAATATTTTAAAAGAGAAAGTTAGTTAATTGTGGACACAAAACTGACGTGTATAAAAACATAACACACACTTGATTAATTCATTTTGAATGACGTATACTAATTAAAGCAACACGGCATCCAAATAATCCCAAAAAGCCTGTGATGTTTCACATAGATACAACCATTGAGTTTCTTTTGTGTGACAATATTAAAACACATAATAAATTCTGCGCATAGTAGTAAGTCTTTTAGGGAAAGTGCACTGAGTTGTAGTTCCATCTGCGGTTGCAAATCTTGCCGCTTTTTATAGCGTCCTTAACTACGGTTTTCAATGTTGCAATTAAACACATAACTTGAACTTTTTAACATTAGGCTCCTTCTGCGTTCTCGACGGCAGTTACGACGGGTGTAGATAGTTATAATGGTTTGTTTAGTGCAACATGTTTGCGCTTAGGAGCATTCATGTTTCTCCCAACGCATGCGCACTGACTGACACACACACACACACACAGAGGACTTAACTCTCCTGTTGTCACCTCTAAAATAAAGCAAATCAGTTTAATTTCTTTCCTCAAATCTTTTTAGCATGAAAAAATTGGCCTGTGAATGTTTGGGTTTTCGCTCATCAATATGCAGTATTTCAGCAGTGTTCAACACTCAACTCTCACTACAGTAAAGGGGATTTTATCATGATAAAAGAACCTGCAGGAGTGTAGAGGGTTAATTAATATAGTATTCATAAAAGATAAAGCAGCAGATTGTGTGTGTGTCAGTCATTTTTGTGGTGTAAAGATGCTTTAATAAATAAAAACCTAATAATAAACCTAAATGACACCCGTTGTGCCCTAAATGTGTTCAGCCTTAATAAAAAAATAAAAGTTTTTTCTTAATGTTGGCCTCATTTTTTTCTGCTTTTAAAATGGGTCCTGGGTCATTTCTGACCCATAAGTGAACAGGAGGGTTGAACAGTGTTAGTTAGTCAGGTATGCTGGAACAATGTCTTGCTATTTCCTTCATGAGGTAATACAGCTGATTCGCCGTAATTTTAACCGCTTTCTTTAGAGATATCCTTGTTCCTGGCCGCTGGTGTTTTTGTCGTTTTGTCAGGAAGAGATGTGTAGTATTGAGCTAACTATTCAGCTAAAACCCCTTTAGACTGATTATTAGACTAATGAAATTTTACTGCTGCCTCCTGAAATAATCAGACTGATCCCCTGTCCAAAATCAATTAGTTTAATCTGCAGAGGCGAGCCGATGACCAGAACGTTACTTTCATGAATATCATAATGACAAATTTCCCGCCTCATGCATTCCTGAGCTGCTTTCACAATCTGCAGAATCAGAGTGTGCACGCATCTGTCTGGAAATCTTCCAGGGTTTTGCATGGGCCCGGATGCTTTATCAGCAACATTATCTTCTTCTTCCAAAAGCATTTTCCCAGAATATGTGTCAAAATAGTATTTGTCAATAAAAATTACTCCATTTGCTGAAACAGAAGAAGTGGAGGCCAAATAGAGCCTCAAAATGACACCAGAGTGGACGAAAATGACCCAACACCAACACAAGGGTTAAAACACATCAAACAAACAATACAAATACATAAAAATGTACCAGAACCTGAAGATATCCCTATTCTATGCATAGATGACGGACCGCTTCGTCCTGAATGACCTGAAAATCAGACATACTTTGTTCCATGTTATTATCAGTAAATAACTTTCTCTAAGGTGTATGAATTGGTTTACTGCAATTAATTCTCTGATTTTAAATCTGTTTGCCTTGTCTGAGTCTCCGAGTGCTGAGTTTCTCAAAATCTGTCTAGTCAGGCATTTGATTAATTGTGACACTCGTGGCACATACGCGTAGTCAGACGTCAACAGCAGAACGCATTTTTATGGTTCTACAGTATCTGCAGATGCACAAACTCAACTTCATTAATCTGAAGGAACAGTAATTGAAGGTTTGTGAAAGTTACTCCCAGCCGATAAACACAGAGGAAAATGATTCCAGACGATTTCTGCAAGACCTTTTGAGTTTCTAGCTGAAATGGAGTTTTTGGACCTTGATGGGTAAGTCCAGATACTAAAAATACAGGTGTTTTGTATTTGATGGTTTTATTTTTTAGATTTTTAATACTAAAACTACATTTTTACACTCTAAAATAAGTTGTGTACTTATTTTGAATTAATACTTACAATCATGCAATAATGTACTGCTAAAAGCCCGTTTGATGGATTGTTTTAGACATAAAAACAGCTCTTAACCACCAGGCTGAATCCAGCTTCTTATTAGCAGCTTCTTATTGACGCTATCCTGTCCACCTTAAAAAACGGAATATGGCGTTCCTAACTTGATAACCTGGCGGTACACAAAGGTGTTTTCAGAGCATACTGAATTTAAATGCAGATTCAGGGTTTTAGTGAACTACATCAGTCCATTTAATACAATAAAACACCAGAGTAAAATGCAGGTAACATATTAAGTCTTACTTAAGTCAAAGTCAAACTCTTTCTAATGAATATAATCCCAGCCACCATTTCAATGGTGATTTGAAGTCAGGTCTATGGTTGGATCAACTTGATATGGTGACGTTGTTTCACTGTCGGACTGTCGCTATTACCTCAGTCATAGGTGATTTAAGGTCAATTTGTAGACGTTGAATGAAGGTTGAATTACTATTCAATTTTGCTTATTGGATCAACACTAATACCACGATGTTGTTTAAACACAAGTTAAATCAAAGTACATAAATATAACCAACTATTTTTACTAATAACAATACATACTGCAAATACACAATTTAGCCAGTGTATCAATTTATTGAAAACTACTTCAATTCAAAATGAGCAGCAACATTTAGAGCATACAATCCATCATTAAAACCATCTACACACGCAGTACACTCAAATACACAAAAGACACACTTACACAACTGG